CTGCTAAAGACAAAAAATCGGAAGTTCTACTGGGACAGCACACTCGATCGAATCTTCAAGAGTCGAAAAGAAGGATCACAGAAGAAATCGAGAACGGTGTAAGAACCTTCAAGTGAATAGGCCAACTTGTTTGTCGACGGACTTCAGCAAAACAGGCTTAGGATATTTTCTTTTCCAGAAGCACTGCAACTGTGCCACCGAAGCTGAACCGAAGTGTGGTGAGGACCACTGGAAGTTAATCCTGGCCGGCTCCCGATTCACTAATGACGCAGAGTCCCGATATGCACCAGTGGAAGGAGAAGCATTGGCATTAGTCTACGGACTGGAAGCATGCCGGATGTTCGTTTTTGGGGTGCCCAGAGCTGTTAGTCACCGTGGACCATAAGCCCCTGGTGAAGATCTTCTCGGACAAAGCTCTGGAGGACATAAAGAACCCAAGACTGTTTAACTTCAAAGAACGGTCCTTGATGTACAAATTTCGAATAAAGCATCTCCCTGGCAAACTCAATGCGTCACCAGACTGTACATCGAGATGCCCAGTGGCGTTAAGCCAGGAGGAAGCAAACGAAGAGGACATCGCACAAACTATGGATAGCGCCATAAGAGCTCCATTTAACTCCACCTATGAGCAGGACCCTAAATTAAGAGCAATAACATGGGACAGGATTGTGGCTGCAGCTGCTACTGACGAGGAATGCCGTTCCCTCGCCGAATTCATACAAAATGGCTTCCCTAAATCTCGGCACGAACTGCCGGAGACAATTCGCCGGTTTTGGCATATGAAAGAGGAGTTATATTGCTTGGAAGGGGTGACGATAATGGAAAATAAAATCCTCATACCCAGAAAGCTACGTGCGGAGGTACTGGAATCACTCCATTCAGCGCATCAGGGCGTCAATGGAATGTTGGCAAACGCTAGACAGCGGCTGTTTTGGCCAGGACTGGACGCGAGCATTCGTAAACCCGGCCCAGTGCAAAGTATGCAACGTAATAGCTCCATCACAACCCAAGGAACCCCTAATGCCGCCCTCGAACCCCGAGTTCCCATTTCAGAAGACTGTGATGGACTTCTTCGATTCTGAGGGAAGAACTATCTAGTATATGCAGATAGATACACCGGATGGGTAGAAGTCACTCTGATGTCGTCCGGGAATGCCAAGGCTACATGTGACGCCCTACGAAACTGGTTCTGCACGTATGGCGTGCGGAGGAACTTTCAACCGATGGCGGACCACCGTTTGACTCCAGTGAATTTAACCGGTTCCTAGATAATTGGGGCATAAGGAAACGAACATCATCGGCATATTACCCTCAAAGCAACGGGAGAGCAGAACTGGCAGTTAAAACGGCTAAAAGGATACTTGTTGATAGCACGGACAGTTGCGGTCGCCTATGCCATGACCAGGCAGCTAGGTCCCTACTGACTCATCGCAACACCCGGTGCGAGACCTACATATGTCTCCAGCGATGATGCTCTACGGTCGCGTGATAAAGGACCATCTCCCAGTGCTCCAGGACCGATATCGAATCCACAAACACTGGAGAGAAATCAGTCATTATAGGGAAACAGCGATGGCAAAAAGACACTTAAGGAATGAAAGAGAATACAATCTAAAAAGTCACCCACTTCAGGAACTGAAAATCGGGGAAACGGTGCAGATACAGAACCAAGTTGGTCCATACCAGCGCCCGATGGGCAAAGACAGGAAGGGTGGTGGAAACACTGGGTAACCGGCAGTATAATGTACGCATGGATGGGAGTAACGGGTAACCCGTCGCAATCGCAGATTCCTCCGAAAAATAAACCCAGTAGTAGATACTCCTTGCCACTGATACCTGAGGTGCCCCCAGGAATGTTGGATACCATAGACAACCCAACAGGGCCCGAAATACCGGGAGAATGGTCCACCACTGATATGGATCAAAACCAGCCCGAAACATTCGACACTCTACCAGAACCGATGGAGGTAGATGACACAGCATCCCCTGGAATGATGGAGGTTGAGGAAGACCAACCGGTGCGTCGTAGCAGAAGGGTGACGCGACCACCCAGGAACCTATCCCCACAGACGTGGGGCACGTCGCACGACTACTCCAGAGCCTCAAAACATTGGACCACAACGCGAGTATCTTGTGGCCCCGGAAGGGAGGGGGCGTGTAGAGGTGGAATCGAACCTAAGACGCCCAGTTACAAGACCGGAATGGTCTTGGCGTCACACCCCCATAGAAGTAGACTCGCCCGCTTACATGAGAGGCGAGAGTGGGCTACTTAAACAAGACATTCACGGCAACGAGTATCGAGGCAGATACACGTCGTCTCGCTGCTACCTTACAAAGCTAAAATGAAATCTTTAAGAATGCTTTTTCATTTTTAAAAATTCATTTCAAAACCTTAGGTATTGAAAATTTATACCGAATTAGTGGAGGTACCTAATTTACATTCTCCAAGGAGTCCTGCTTTTAACTAATAAAACAAAGTTTGCGATCAGTACTTAATTTTTTGAAATTTTATGAAATTAAATGGAATGAAAAAAAAATTTTTTTATTAAGATTTTCTAAAAATAATTTCAAAAATAATTTCATTCATTTGTGAGTAAGTCCTGAAAATTTCATTATAAATCTGACAATTATTTTATTTTTGCAAGAATTTCCAAAGTCTTAGTAATTTTACTGGAAAAATGTACTGAAATTTTCATAGCTTTGTTACACTTCTGACACACACACACACACACAATGAAAAAAAGATTTTTAACTAAAATTTTGAATGTGCTAGAAAGGATTAAAAAGCTTAATAATATTATAAAAAAATACTTTGGTCTATCCTCCTAATAATAACATAATCATTTTGATGATAAAACTCTGTTTTTATTAAGTTTCAGGCATTTTTTTCATCATACTCTATTTTCTTCAGTGAAAAAGTTACCTAGGAGTAAAAGAAAATGAAAAAACCTTAGAAGGAACAGGAAATCAGAAAAGTCTTTTGTTCAAAAGACTGGGCAGGAGTGTGTGTTGTAATAGTTTAAAAAATAAGTAATGTTTAATAAATCCTAATGAAATGAAAGTAATATTTCAAGTAATAGTCCAGCATTAACTGCCACGTAGCAGGATAGATATGACACCAGTTCGTGCTTGTTTTCTTCGTTTCTAACCAAATTTTCCTATGCCTTAATACTTTGCTTATTTTCTGGAAGGCCTTTTTCACTATTTTGATGTGCCTTTGAATCTGCGTGTCACATTTTCCATTATCTGTTATTTTCTCTAACTATCCCTACCTACAAGAAAGGACTTTTTTTCTATGACATTTTTACCCACCTGATAACCAAATAAATCACACTTAATAATTTTTGCTATAACTTTTTTCCCCAGCCATTCTTAAGACAGAAGTAATGAAATGGCCTTTAACCAAGGCAGCACAAAAACCCAGACTGAATAAGTATAATTTTCAAAAAACTAAAGCAAGTAAAAATTCTTCAGATAAGGTATTGCAAAAAGGATTATTGAAAAAAGAATTCCATCAGATTCTGTGAATGTGGAATTTGTGAAAACTAATTTATTGCAAAAAAGACTTGTTTAATGACATTATGACATTGGATGCTTAATTTATAATTACTGCAAATATTTCCACTTTTAAATGTTAATTTAAATTTTCTTAAATCTGATTCAAGAAATAAGTGTTATTTTCTTACAGCTCAGCAACACTGAGAAAATACATTTGATTGAAAAAAGGAACAAAAAAATTTGTGTCATCAAATAAGATATTTAAAGAGTTACACATAAAAACCTAATAATAGTAAAGATCTAAAATATGCCATCATTTTTTATGACATGGTCAAACTAGTATTAATATAAGATTCTATGGAACTTAAAGAGGGATATTGGTTTTCTTTTGTTATCAAACAATGAACTGACCCCCCCCCAATCCCTTAATGTAAAACTTCAGCTTTTAATGCACATTCTCCCATCTATAATACCTATGCATTGTATATGTTGTAATGTCTTGATCTTTTTTTAGTTTTTTGTTTAAGAGTGTATTGACTTACTAGTTTAACCATAAAAAATGCTTTTAATTAATAAATATTTAAATCAACAAAAAGTTTTAGTGAAGATATAAAAGTGGGAGATCATTTTTGCATTACACTTAAATAATAAATTGGCCCCTCATTTTTTTTTTTTTGTGCATAGTTCATATATGTATTATTTTTTTTTTTATCATTTTACCTTATGCAAGGTAATAAAGCCACTAAGATGCAAGGGGGTTATTGAATGTTAACCTTTAACATTCTGGATGTGATTTTGTTTGCAAAGCACAAATTTTATCCTGCCACTGCAAGTGACTCAGATTAATGAATGATAGCAGGTTTTAATTTTGCAGTTGTGTTGTCCTATCATGCTATGGTAACAGAAAATGACCATGACTGAAATTAAGTAATGCAGTAGAGGAATCTTGAAAAAACAATGCAGTGGAAAGGAAAGTAGTGAATAATGCAGAGTGTTAAAGGTAATATGAGGGACAGGGAACTCTATTAAGAACAATAAAAGAACAGGAATTTAGAAGATGGAAGATAATGTTTGATATTGCATTGAAATTTTAAATCTGTATTGCAAATTTTATAACTTACACTGATGGTTATGAGAAAGTTTTGGTTTAAGATCATTCTCAATCCCCCCCCAACACACTTCAAAGTAAATGTGTAATCAGTGTAATGGCATTTATAATAAAACCCAAACCATAACAACCTGTAACCCTCTACCTTACCATTGGGTTACACCCAACAGTGCTTCATTCTGTAATGAGAGATCATGCTTTTTATTTTAAAAACTATAAAAGTCTCTATAAAAGGCAGCATTTGGTTTTCAGTTATTTCTTTGATGTCCATCTGTTGGATAATAATGAATATTATTTTTAAGACGTTTTTATCTTTATAAAATTAACTTGATATTATGAAAATTAACTTGATATTTTTTTTTTTATTTATGTTGCTTTCCTTAACATTTGTTAGTAAAGAGCGGTTTGCTCCTGAGGATTTGGTTTTCTCAGGAGTTGTGGCCTGTTTCACTCAGGTAAGGCTTGTTTTCTTAAAAAAAAAAAAATGACTATGCTCTTTTGGTAAGCACCCCTCTCCCCACTGTCTTTTGAAAAGTATAAAAAGTTAGCAAAGACTAATGATCTTTTTTTTTTTTTTTACATTGTTCAGACTGTTGTCCTCATCTTTATTGTCACATACACAATGTTTTGACCATTGTACGCTCTGCCCTTCTTAAGGTTATATACATTGGAGTTTTGAACCAAACCCGTTATTTTGTACACTGAGGTAGATTGTTCTAGTTCCACATGCCATGCCTTTTCTGGATATCTGTTTCAGTTAATTCCCTTTACTAACTAAACTCTGCAAGTTTTTGCTCACCTATGCTGTGGCCAGGTATTGAACTCACAACTCTGTAAGTCAAGTCTTTGGATTACTTCAACCAACGCTTTTATCCACTGGGCCATGTGGCAATAGTCTAAACAATGTAAATAGTTACAATACCTCATCTGAGAAATATAGACAGTTACTTTGCTGCTGTATCATAAGTGAATACTTTTGTACCAAACTTTGGTTTGTACTTGTGCAGAAAATACCAATCCATTCTCTGGCATATAACTATCATATGAGTATTTGAATACATCTGCTCAAACTGGTAAATAGCCAATGTTTTTGAGCCAGATGACAAATGGATTTATAGCAGTGAAATTAGCAATGACATTGTTGAGATTGTCTCATTTTGCAGACGAGACAGTCTTTTTATTTACACTGTTTACATTGTTTGGACTGTTGTCTTTTTTGCCATATTCACATTTCGACCATTGTACACTCCAGCCTTCTTCAGGTGATATATGTTGGAATTTTGAACCAAATCCTTTATTTAATCCATAGGGGGTAGATTGTTCTAATTCCATGTGCCTAAGTGGACTAAGTAAAGGGTTTGGTTTGAAATTCTAATGCATATCATCTGAAGAAGGCTGGAGCATACAATGGCTGAAACATGAATATGGCAATAAAGATAACAACAGTCTAGAGGATGTAAATAAGTTACAATGCCTCATCTCAGAAAGACAAATGACTACTTTGTTTTTTTTTCTCTCTTTTTGCTTAATTGAATTTTTTGCAATCTTAAGTATTTCATTCAAGTACTAAAACCACAACTGAGATTTATTGGAGAAGATATACGGTTTAGCAAGAAGAGCTGAGAAGCTAATTAATTGATAAATAAACAGGTGACAACAGGTGACATTGCAGTAAAGAAAACATGATGTAAACACTGTAATTATCAGATAAGTGATACACACCTGCTATGATAAAACTAATATTAAAGTTAAAGGCTCTGAAAAAGCACACTGCTTATGTCCTTGAGGATGGTGGCTTAGTGGATAATGTCATTGGGTAATTAATTGTTGCTCTTACCTCATGGTTCTGACTTCAAACCCTGGATTAGGTAATGAAATAATATACTCTGGTTCAGCAGAAAAAATAATTAACAAAATAATACAATACTTCCTTGATTGTTTTTCATCTGGGTTCCCTGACCTCCCACTTCAGATTTTATCTTTAGCCTAAAGAGAATAGTGATTCTAATTTTTCTTTTTGTCCAGGTTCAAGAAGAAGACATGAAGGAAATCTGGGCAGCCATTGTTTATAATGGCGGTTACATTCAACGTAAATTGGATAACCATGTCACTCATCTCATCACTGCTGCTACAAGTGGGGTAAGTGTCTATTGACATATATATAAAATGTATTTGATCAGCAAAAATTCATACTAAAAGTTTTTTGTTAAATTCAATCAACAAGGTTTACTTATTTAATTATTTATTAGATTTTTCCAATTTCCAAATGAGGTGATTGAAATTATGAAACTATCTACTTTGTTCAAGTACTTTTGACTATCTCAGTCATTATCAAGAACTGGGTATTGTCAGTATGCTAGACAATATTTTTTGACTAAATTCTAGCGTTTTTAGATCACTGGAATTGGAATCAATTCAAAGTGATGTCCTATGTTAAACAGAAAAGTATGTAAAGACTATTTATACATGTTTTTTTATATGTCTATGGAATATATTGGAAAAAAACAGGAAAAACGTGAAGTTTGAAAAGTTTATTCATAATTTCAATACCAATATACTACATCTCATTCAGATAGACAGATATTCTCAGTTGAATTTAACAAAACTTGTTTGGATATATGTATGGGTTATTCCATCCCAAATCAATCAATGACCACAGGTGACCCTCTCAGAAAAATTTGGGAACATTCACAAGTGTTTCTTGATCAAATTTTTTGTTGAATCCCAAATATTAGATCTATATCTTTTAATCATTTTAAAATCGGAGCATCTTGGAATTTCACTGTATTATGCTAAATAAAGCTTTCAATGAACTTTTGACATCCATTGCTCCAAAAATATTGCATGTACAGATTTGAAACTTGGTTACAATAGTTAATGTAGATTACAAAAATGTAAACATCTTAGGCATATCATATGGACTTTCATTTTTATAAGGACCTAAAAATGCAAAAAGACACTGTTTACTTTGAGAGCTTCTCATTTACAAAGTATGTCTGATACGGCATCCAAATTACTTTTCCTGTCATTTATGGCCTAATAGATTATCTCTATGCAGTAACCATATTTATCCCTGCTATAGAAATATGTGTATTACTGTTTGAAAATTGTTTTTTTTTTTTTTTTTTTAACATCTTTAAAATTGTATCCTTTTTTTTTTACTGTCAAGACATTTTGTGGACAAACTTCTGTTTAGAACAACTTGTGATGCTAAAATCAATTTTAGCTCCTTATAAATTTGATACTTAGAAAATATAAAGTTGAAAGTTGGTACCTTATGCAAATAAACTAGTTTTGACTTCAATTTACCTTTGTTCCAAATAGTTTAGATACTATGGGCCCTTCAAAATGGATGGTCTAAAAAAAATTTTTTAATTGAACAAAAAAAAATAATAAAACAAGGACATTAAAATAAAATTTCCACTCAATTATTTTAATTTTAAATACATCACAATTTGTTCATGTTAAGCAATTTTATTGATACTCATAAATATACACAAATCAGGATCATTATTAAGACAAAAATCATTTTTAAGATTTGAGAATTGTACAGTTTGTCATTAAGAAATGTTTCCTCCTCCCATTTCAATGTATGAAATATTGAAATAGCTTCAATGGAAAATTGAATGAGTTTCACTGTAATTGAATTTTACTTTCATATCTGTTTTATATGAACATTTCTTTTCATTTTGCTGTATTACAAATTATATCAGTAATCACTTATATACAAGGGTGGAACAATAATTTTGTAACCTGATATGTAGTTATTACTTGTATTTTGATCTGAATTTTGACTATAATTATGAATCTATGGAATAAATATTTACTGCTGAATTAAGTGCATTGTCAAAAAAGGAAATCATGTTGTAAAATAAATTTTCTTGTAGCGCACTACTTAAATTGACTTGTCCATTTGTAAAAGATTAAGAAAACTGTTTTGGGGAATAATTTTGGTAGATTAACATTCACTAGATTTTCCTCAAGGCACAACATTTGTTGAAAATGAAAATTATTGATTTTTATCATTCTACAAGTGAGGGTCCTGTTTCTAATATAAATACAGTATCAAATTGATAACCTGACTTAAAGAGTTTTCTCCCTTTTGTTTTTATTACTTACGGCATTGATGACTGCATACTGTTACGAATTGGTAAAAAATACATCAGTATTCTGTTACACACAGGACTCCCCACACTTCTAAAATGATAAAAAAGCAATATTTTTAAATTCTGACAAATATGTCTTGAAGAAGATCAAATAAATGCTAATCTACATTTATTATTCACTTGTCCCCCACTGTTTTTTTTTTATGAATAGATCGGCTAATTTAAGTCATGCTGGCTATAAACTTGTTGATGTACTTATCTATGTGTATTTTGTTTTAAAATTTACTTTTTTCATAAATAAAAATAAAAAGTTGCATTCTGAAATCAATATGAAAATTTCAAGATAATCTTCTTCTGATGAATTTCAGTTAAAGTATGAGACAGCCATGAAATATCCTGATAAAATCAAGATAGTCACGCCTGACTGGGTAACTGACTCTCTTAGTAAAAAGGCCAAGCAGGACGAGAGCATCTATCATCCTCGTCTTATTGTACATCCAGAGCCTGAAGCAGTACCTCCTCCAAATCCAACCAAAACCCCAGAAGCAGAACCTATGGAAACAATTCCCACTGTGGTAACCCCTCCCCTGCCTTCTCCTCTTCCTCACCTAGGACCTCAGCAGCAGCAACAACAACCCTCAATGCCTGCACATTTCTTTGAGGAGAAGACCCAAACACACACGGCCCCTGTCCCTACCACAAGAATTGAATTGTCCACAAACAAATCTGGCAGTCAACGGCAAACCATAGCTCAAATTCTTAGTCAGGAAAGTCAGAATCGCAGAGAAGTATCGAACAAAGACTTGTTAACTCGTCTTGTGGGCAGTCCAACCCCTACAACAACTAGTAACCTTGGGATCAACCCAGGCAGTATACTCTCTACCTCACCTGTGAATGCCAACAACAACGCCGCCACCACCACCTCTACCACCACCACCAACTGGGAAAACAACAATGTTTCCCAGACTGTTAAGCCTAATGGATCGCAGCCAGGGACACCGTCCGCTAAATTAGCCCTGGCTCGAATGGTGAACAGTCGGTTGCAGGCAGGTGCCAATCACCACCGAGCAACCACGCCTAGCAGTCGTGCAGCAGCAGGACAGGGGTCGGTACCCAGAATGCCAACACCTGAACAGAAATTAGATGCTACTAGTCCTGTACTTCCAGCCACATGCACCCCGAATGCCACTCCAACCACATCTAACGTTCTCTCCCCTTCTAGAAAAACTTTACAAAATATCACCAACAGTGTTGATAATGGTCAACCCCAAGTTACACAGCGACCAAGTATGAGCAAGGTGAGTTAAAATTTTTTTTCTTATGGACTGATTTTTAATTCTATATTAAAATCTTGTAATTTCTTGAATACTGATACTGATTTAGCATTTTATGATTCTAATATAAGATATACAGTCTGCTCACAAATGGACATTGGCATTCTTGGGACATTTCTCAAGCGATATATACTCTATATTTAGTTTGAAAGTAGGCAGTCTCAGGATTTCAGAATTGGTTGAACTTATCGTAACTCCAAATATTTATTAAGTTATGATTGTTTGAATTTAATCAAAACTTGCAGATATTTAATGATTAATTTTTAGATGATTGGTTTTGGATAGTTGCTTGCTCTGCTTTTTTTGCTTCGAAATTCATTGGAATCTTTTGTTGGAAGAGAATATTATAAATGGCAGGCACGTTTAACTTGACAGACTTTTTTAAAGATCATATATAGTCTTTTTTGTTTCTCGTATGTCATCTTTGAATAATGCTATAAAAATTCAAGAGACAATTTTTTCTTTGCCTTTTTATTGTAAGTTCTCAAATATTAAAAGAATTTAAATCTGCAAAATGTAAGAAAATTGTCTGTATTTCTGATGTGAGGTATTGCAACTATTTACATCATTTGGACTGTTGTCCTCATCTTTATTGCCATATTCACGATGTTTCGGCTGTTATACACTCCAACCTTCTTCAGGTGATATACGTTGGAATTTTGAACCAAACCCTTTTAGTCTTTGGTGTAGATTGTTCTAATTCCACGTGTCATGCCTTTTCTGTATATCTCAGTATCAGTTAATTCCTTTTAGTGACTCAACTCTCCAAGTTTTTGTTCCCTCTGCTGTGGCCAGGTATTGAACCCACAACTCTTTGGATCAAGTCACTTTTTGAATTACTCAACCAATGCTTTTATTTACTGGGCTATGTGTCCTTGGAAAGATATTTAAAACATACTCAGTTCCTTAGAGACAAATTGATAATTACCCACTTTTGGCATCATATACTGGGCACAATCTTCCTTGTATTTATTAGAAAATCCTGATCAAGAGCTCTATTCCTATATGTTGCAGAATCCATTTTTGGCCCTGAAAATCTCCCAAAATGCAAAATTTAAGTTCTTTTTATTTATTTTAATTAGAAATGTGAAAGTTTTCTTTTAATCTTCCTCTTAAATAGAAATAACATTAAGGCAGTTCCATAATTGAGTTGGAAATCATTCAGAAATGAGGGGCACAAAAACAAAATGTCTGCTTGACTTTATTGTGCAAATCCAATGTGAGATATTAATGCAATATTTTATTTTATTTCTACACACTTCTGCTTTTTTTTTTTTTTTTTTTTTTTTTACTTCTCTATTCTAAATCTGAAGGTTTATAAATAGAACTACTTGTTGCTTATTGTTATGTTTATGAAATAATATTTTATTTTAATTTTTTTTTTTTTTTTTTTTTTTTTAATCATTTCACCCCAAGTAAGGCAATAAAGTCATGAAGGTACAAGGGGTTACTGACAGTGAAAGAAACTGAGAATAACATTACTGAGGAGAAAAGACATTAAAAAGAACAGGATTCAAGGAGACATGAGATGACGATTGACGTTGCATTTAAATTTTTGAAGATTGTAGTTGAGAGGAAAACAAGATGCCAGTAGACTGAGACCTAGCTGCCAATCTAGTATTACACTTAAATTTGTAAAGTCAATGTTTCCAAAGAGCAAAGTTCATTAGAACAATTGCTATGAAAATATTTATAGAAAAGGCACAGAGAAATTACATTACAGCAGTGGGAAAGTGACTGAAGCCGAGATGCCAGGTCAGGGTCAATAACATTATAGATGCTTCTTTGGATTTTGTTCGAGAATCTTTAGATACATAGCAGAAGCACCAGACTAGGTGTGGCAAGCAACAATATTCAATGCATGGATGAATGGTAGAATTATGCAGTTGTGTGCAAAAGTTTAAGACCCCCTAGTGATTTTCATGTAAAATACACAATACAGCAATATAAGGTGTTCTATAATATAAATTTATTATGCAAAATCATTGTATCACATAAAAATATATAGTAATTCAAAAAGTAAATCCACACATTTGAGAAACGGTCATATTAGGCAGTTTTTTGTGAGGATCTAGCAAATATGGGAATCTTCAGTATTTTGTATGTCCGCCTTTGTTCTTTATTACGGCCTGTAGATGACGAGGCATGCTGTGCAACAGACTTTTGCATTACTTGGCAGTTATATCACCAATCCAGACTTGTTTTATAGCCTTTTCCAAGTTTGTGGCACTTGTGGGTTGTTTATCTGCTACCTTGTCTTTCAGTAGTGTCCACAGATTCTCAGTCGCATTGAGATTGGGACTGTTACCAAGTCAATCGAAGCTTTTGCCTCTGTTCTTCTTCAGGAAAGCACTTACTATCTTTGAACAGTGACAGGGAAAATTGTCCTTCACGAGTGTATCGCAACCATGAACAGCCATGTGAAGTTCAAGCTTGTCCTTCTGCATTTCAAGGTACCTGGTGCCGTTCATTGTCGTTCCAGTGGGTGTGAACAAGAGTCCAGCTATCTTTTTAGTGGACATAGTCCCAACCCCCCCTCCCCCAAATCATGACCATAGTTTGGGTATAGAGGTCATCGTATCTTGTGTTGTGCTAACAGGCTTATGAACATGCTGTTTTTGCAGGACAAACTGTTGGACAGTGGATTCATCAGAGAAAAGGACTTTATTCCACTTTGCCTCATCCCAGTTCTTGTACTTCTTAACAAAGGCCATCCGCTTGGTTTTCATAGCTTCAGTTAAGTGACATTTTTTTAGCAGGTTTGCAGGCTTTTAACCTGATCAACAACCTGCTGACAGTCGAATGATGAATATTTGTACCTTTAAGAAGCAGTGCTGAGTTATTTTCTTGCATGAACTGGTTGGAAACTGAACAGCTATTTGCTGTGTTGAATTGTCATCACAAGGGGTCATTTTTCATGGTCTTCCACTCCACTTCTTGTCAGCATAAATTTCAGAATTGAATTTGACAATTGCCTGATGAACAGCCGTCTTGCTACAAGATACTTTGTTGCAAATCTTTTTTTTCAGAAAGTCCTTCCTTGTATAAAATCAGAATTTGAGCTTTTTGTATTTCCGACAAACTGACTCCCCCCCCTCCATTTTTTTTTGACATTCAAAACACAAGAAATCTTGAAAAGAACTGTACTAATTTTCAAAGACAATGCACTCATTGAGCATTGATATGTTAAAATGGCTGATTAGGATGATGTCATCATATACATAATCTGATGTAATCACAAGCCTGGAAATGGAAAAAATGTTCTTAAACTTTTGTTGCACATGACTGTAAATGTGTAAGATAGATTCTAGTGAGAAGAAATTGTCTAGCATGACATGGAACCAACTTTCCTTAGTAGAAGATGTAGAAATTGATTCAGTTTAATTTTTCCACTTCATATCAGTGGAAAACATTAGACTGAGAACATGCTGTCTCGAAGGTTAGCATCAACCATGCTGAATGCAGTTTATTATTGGTGAAAAATTTTAAGGTTACTAAAATGAACCAAAAAAAAATATCAGGTTAGGAAGTGAAAGCTTGAAAAAATATCGCTTATACAAACATAAAATATGACTGTTTGCAATCACATTTTATTAAAACTTCACTCTGGGTAATTTAAAAAAAATTATTTTTTTCTATTTAAATATTGAATAGATTTTTTTGAATTTCTTTTCTTTGTTTCAGATTAGTCAGATGTTAGGTTTACATGTTCTACCTCGTACACAATCAAATGGGACTTCGACTGTGACGCCTCCAAGTCCATGTCCGTCTGTGACACCTCAGTATTGGGGACATGATCCTGCAGACAAAAGTAAAGAAGTTTCTTCTTTCTTTTTATCCTTTCTTTCTTTTTATCCATGTGAGATAAAGCTGTGTCATTCAAACTAGTATCATATTTGCTGTTTTTATTACATTTCAACTCGGACCTTCAGCAGGCAATCATTGAAAGTTATCCACAATGATATTTGGTTTTATAATTTGTCACTTTGCCAATAAAAACATTTCACAGATGACAAATTCTCAGATCGTAGAAAAAAAATTAAAATAATTTTTTTAAATAAGCTTAAACAACTGCCATATGTTTGCTAAATTTTTTTTATCAAGATGGATCAGTAAGTCTGTAGCCTGACAGTTAGCTAAGTTTTGACTGAAATTTTCACTATAATTTCTAAAGAGTGATGGAATTTTATTTATTAAATCTGACAGATTTTATTACTTAAATGTTATTTTTAGTGGGTACCCTTATTTGAGTAGACACTCAGTTTATTTATTAAACATTATATTTATTTTTGTCTACCGACCTGAATGTTTGAGAAATCATATTAAAGAAAAATAGGCACTCTTTGGCAGGATTTGAAATTGCATTCCGTTTGGCAGGAGGAACTGTCATGAGATCCAATGTGTATTGAATCTTTTCAGCCTTTTACTTTTTATGTCTTTTCTTTATTTATTAAACATTTCTTTGATATTTCAGTTTCTCCTGAACTTCCTTTATTGGGATGTGTTTTCTACATAACTGACTATCACAAAATTTTGGGATCTGACAGAATTACTGTTTGGAAACAGGTAACATTTTTTTTTTCTTGGTTAACTCTTGCCCAAACTCTAACATTTAAAAAAACCCAAAAAAAACCAAAAAACTCTATATTTATCACATTATTATCTTTGCAATGTCAATCAAAGATAATAATCGATTCTTATCATTTTAAACATACACAACTTTTAAGATTTTGTGAAGCAGTATTGTTCATGAGATTCAACATTTATTCCTTTTTAATTGACCAAATATTACACTGGAATGTGTTAAAAATTTTTTTCCAAAGGTCAAAGGTTTATCAAGTGATATATGATAGCCATTTTATACTGAATTCAAAAATACCATTCATTGTGTTTGGTCAGGTCTGTTTTTAAGATATGCTTGAATACTTCACAACAAGTTGTACACAATAATAACACTTATTCAAAATCTTGTGGACTCTAATTGTCACAGCTGATTGTGGGTGCCTGATGTTTAGTATAGCATATAATGTTGTATGTGTACTTAACTACGATGTAGCACCCTCCTTGCTAACACCCGCATACCTAGAGGGGGGCAGAGCTTATCCCTCAACTTAAAATCATTTTAATGTACTATGTCAAGTGTCAATGATGAGCTGAGTGCTAATTTATTTTTTCTCTTTTTAGCTTGACATTTGTATTCCTGTAAGAATGGCCTTCAAGTGTAAGAATAATCCTGACAGATTCTGTTACATCTTCAGTAATGCGATTCTTCCTAACCGCCAAGAAAAAATCACTAACTTTGTGAAGAAGGCATATCGTGATTACTTTAGTCAAACTAGGGGATCAGGATAAGCTATTCACTCCCCACATTTGCTGTAAAACATGTGTGTAGAATTTGAGTGATTGGAGGAATGGTAAAAAGAAGAGTATGCCACTTACCATTCCAATGGTCTGGAGGGAAGGAAAAATCGTATTATGGACTGCTATTTCTGAACGATAAATCTAAAAGGATTAAATTGCAAGAACAAGCACCATGTCCAATACCCTGATGTTTCTTCTGCCATAAGACCAATCCCTCATGGCCCAGACCTTCCTGTTCCTGAGGCAGATGGTAACATGGAATATAGCTCTGATTCCGAACATAATGACATGACTGTTGTAGCTGGAGATGAGGCATACAAGCCAGAAGAGTACAACCAGCCAGTACCCTTGACACAAGCAAAACTCAACAACCTGACACAATGCCTGAACCTTTTAAAGGAGTCTGCTCAGCCGTTGGGTTCATGCCTTAAAGAAAAACATCTGTTGACACCCGGAACAACATTCTACTGGTATTGAGACCGTGAGAGAGAATTAAAGTTTTTCACATTCCAGGATACTGTTGACCATGTTCACCATAGTCTATGAATATAGAATACAGCGCAGTATGTAATCTGTTCAATGAAACAACATTAAAGATCAACACTCACGAGTCACTCTACCACCAGCAGCAGCTGTTCCGTAATTCTTCAGTCTTCCATATCAAAGGCTGGCAGTGAATATTCGGGAAAAACATAGCCGCCTTTATACACGTCGCATTGAATATTTTGAGCCTTCTGATTGGTTAACCCTTCTATTGGTGAACTATAAAATGAGTCAGCTCATTTTGGATGGCTCACTAGTACACCAGGGTACCCAAAAATTCCAACAGATACATCATCATTGGTTTAATGCAACAACATTTCTGGATTGATCAAATCAGTGAGCTTAGAGTATGATGCTACAGAATGGAGACTTTTTATTGATTCATCCAGCAGAAATCTCAAAGCAGTTCTTATACATAATGGGAATAGTTCATCTATCCCTGTTGGGCATTCAGTACAAATGAAAGAAACTCACAACAGCTTGGGTCATTTGTTGTCTGCTGTTAACTCTCAGGAGCAAAAATGGTTGATTTGTGGAAATCTTCAGGTGGTTGGACTGGTCCTAGGGCTCCGAGGTGGGTACACAAAGTATCCTTGTTCTCTGTCTCTGGGACAGTCGGGCTGATGACCAACCATTATGGCAGGCAAGAGTGGCTGTTAAGACAAGGGTTAAAACCTGGCTTGCATAACGTTCAGTCTCACACTCTCGTTGAACTGAACAAAATACTGCTTCCACCCTTACATATCAAGTTAGGAGTAATGAAGAACTTTGTGAAGGCAATGGACATAGAAGGCAGCGGGTTTGCTTTCCTCCAGGAGAAATTCCCATGGATAAGAATGGAGAAACTCAAGGCTGGTATATTTGATGGCCCTTGGACTATTTTTCAAAAAACTATGGAGATTTGAATGAAGAGCAGAGTGAGTGCTTTCACCAAGATATTCACATTATGAAAAGCGCTACCAAGGCTGGTGGGATGTAAACATTCTTGCTGGCTACTGCTAGTGATTGAAATGGGATGCGGTGGCTGCTGAGCACAGGAGGAAGTCACTGAAAAGACCTTTCATCCATGAATAGCTTCTTTTGTTTATCTTTCAATTTACTATGGCACAATGTGAGCTTTCTGCAAATATATCAGCCCTAAATTTAGAAGTATTTAATTCAACAAGAAAATAAATAAATTTATAATACTGTTCTATACATTTGAAGTAAGAGCTTGTATCTTAAAAATTTGATTTGATTAGAAAAATGATTATGATTTTTGGATTCAGCGTAAAAAACTGCCTTAAAATCAGCTATTATATATTCGACCTTGAAAACATTGCAGGCCAGTGTTATTTATGTAACAAATTCTATAATATGTTTCTTTGTTTTTTTTTTTCTCCTTTAGCCTATTTTCCTGTTCTTTCTCCAACCTAAATTTCTATTTAGAAATGTTTATCTTCACCTCAGCAATTTGCCCAGTTTGATTTCTGCTGAAAATGATCTTTTTGGAATTTTCTCAATTTTGAAATAAGAAAATAAGATTTCTGGAAATTTTTGCAAATTTAGTTTTCTTTAGCTGATGTAAAATCTGCAATCTGCTTTACCCTTGAAAATAAACGAATCTTTATTTGCCCTTTAGCATTTTTTATCATCTCTAGTTTTTGTTGAATAAAAATATTTGTTTAAAAATATTTTTTGTTTAGATTTGAGGCAATTTTACCAATGGACAGAATTTTTTTTTTATATAATATTAATAAACATTTTTGTATTTTATTAATTATATAATTTCTTTTTTAAATGTTTTTTGATTTTTCATAAAACTTGGTTGATTTTTTTTCTTTATTCTTTGTGACAAAAATTCTTTAAATTTAATTTTTATTTATTAGAATTTACAATTTTTTATTTTGTTTATTAAAAATTTTTAAGACATTCAAATATTGAAAAAAAATTATAAACTTCAATTCTTGCATAAATTTAGATTAAATATGTAAAAACTATTACCAAGTGAATGTTTTTTTTTTTCTTTATTGCCAGATCATTGAACAGTTTGGTGGCCAAGTGGACAATTCTTATTCCAACCGTATCACACACGTCTTGTGTGCAAGTCAACAGAGTGATGTCTTCCACTTGGTCAGTAAAAAAAAAAAAAATAAATATATTTTAGTTTTGTTTTTGATATTTAAAAAGAATTAAAATCTCTTCTGATTTTGACAAAAAGCAGCAATGACGTTTTTAAATCTTGTCACTTCTCATGTTGAACGCAGAACAACTTGACTAGTTGAATATTATGTATCAATCTTATCTCATAATAAATCATTGGCTGCCAATTGTACTGTCTGTACCTACAACTGATTCATTTAAAACCTTTTTCCATAATTGTATTGATTGTGAATAACTGTATTTATTGATGCAATGTAAAGGAATGAACCTTTTTGATCGATTTTTGTTAAATTTTGGTTTTGTAAGAAGTTAACTAAAATTTATCAGATGTATTGGGTTGGAAGATAAGTTTGTAGCATTTTTTAATAGTTAACATTTGAACATGCAATTTTGTTTGGCATGTGACTGAAATTTTTGGCATGTATACATATTCTGGAAAATGATATTTCAAAGTGTGTTTCCATAAAGTTCATGTGTGGAATGTGAATTTGAAATGTTTTTAGATTAGAAATAAAAATGCAATATTTTTCTGTCATTTGATTTTTTTTTTTTTTTTTTTTTTTTTTAAATAGAAAAATCACTACAAATAACAAAAAAAAACTGTGCTGTTTATGGAGATGATCCATAGCTGACTGTAATAATTCTAAGCGTTTTGCTAGGTTTGGAAGTTGAAATTTTGACCTGGAAAACCAAGAATGTTCCAGCAGGTCTGCAGTTCTGTCTCTATTTCTGAGATGAGTTATTGTAACTATTTACATTGTTTCGACTTGTCCTCATCTTTATTGTCATATCATGACATTTCAGCCATTGTAAACTCTGGCCTTCTTCAGGTGATACATGTTGAAATTTCAAACTGATCCTTTTATTTTTTTCACCGGGTCTTGAATATGACATTAAAGATGAGGACAACAGTCTGAACAGTGTAAATAGGCCTGCAGTTGTTCATGATGACTGATTACAGATTAAGAAAAATCCAGATCACACAACACAGAACATTGCAGAGATACTGTACATATCTCATATGAGCATTGTAAGGCATTTGAAAGATACTTGGATCCATGAATTGCGATAATGTTTGGGTGCCTTGAAATTTAACAGAAAAAAATGTAATGGTCTGCATTTCCTTGTGCAATTCTCTGCTCAAATGCAACCAAAATATCCCATTAATTCTAAAAAGAATGATCATAGGTGATTAAAAATGGATTGTTTACAACAGTATGGTTCAAAAAGGCTCCTCAAGAAAATAAAATGAGCCACAAAGTCGGTCTGCATCAAAAGGTGGTATTGTGTATCTGGTGAGATTGGAAGCAGACATTGTGCATCATGAGTTACGACATTGAACTTTGACAAGTACTGTTCTCAATTGAAACTATTAAAAACAACAATCAGTGAAAAGCATCCGAAATAGGCCAATTGGGAGGGGGTTGTCTTTCATAAGCAATCAATAAAAAGCATTTGGAACAGGCCAATTGGGAGGGTGTTGTCTTTCATCAGGCCAATGCCAAACCTCACACCTCTTTGCAGACTTGGCAGAAAAAGGTACAGACCAATTTATCACCCAGAAAGATGTAAATTTCTAGGAGGATAGAATAATCAAGCTCTCTCTCAAAAATAGTGAAAAGTAATGGAACAAAATGATACACATGTGGTTGAATAGATCTATGTACATATATTTAAATATTGTCCTTGAAATTAACTTTAAAAAAATGTTATGCACTTTTGTTCAGACTTGGTAGAATATAATGAATCTTGTTGTCTGTTAATTCTTTTTCAATAACAAGTTGTCTATTATGGGATGGACAAAATGGTTGTTAATACATTTGTATTATGTGAGCCTTATTTCTGGATGTTTATAGTAAAAGTTTCTTTTTGTTATTCTGTTGTTTCACAGGCTCTTAGGGACCAGAAAAGAGTTGTAACAGCATATTGGTTGAACGATGTTCTGGTGAAGAAGAAAATGTTCCCTCCGTGCCAAGTGCTGCATCTACCTATCATTTACGGGGATAAGAAACCTTGTAATAATCAGGTAAATTATTTTATTCCAAATATCTCTATACAACCAACAAATCATATTTGGTTAGACATTCTACTGTTTTTCTTCTCAAGATAAAATGCCATTGTAGCGGTTTCAAATTGATGAAAGAGTTTGATAAATAAGCAGTAAAATAGATGTTAGCCTTTTGTTTTAGGTTGTTAATCTTTCTCGGATTTTTCTAATTTTGTTTTGTGTATTTTGATTTTGCTGATCTTCATGAAATTGCAGAAGATACAAAAGAGAAATGCATTAATCATTGGAATTGGTCTATTGATGTGTAGTAAATGGATTTCAGTCAGTTTAGGGTTGATCTTGAGACAATTATGAGTGAAGGGAGGAAGATCTTTTCGTGTTTGGCTGATGTTACTAACAGAAATATATGCTTATGGCCATATCACATTGAAACACTAGTTCCTGTACGATCACTGAAGTTAAGCAATGTTGAGCCTGGTCAGTATCTAGATGGGTAACTGCTTGGTAATACCAGGCACTATAAGTTTGGATAAGCAAGTTTTTGTAATACATAATGGTTTGGAATTGGAAATTGGAGAGCCTGGTCAGTACCAGAGCCATTTTCCAATTCCAGCCAGTTTTGTTATATTCACTAATGTGCAAATGCCCTTGGGAAAGGTATGAATCCACCTTTTCTCCTCCAGCTATGGGTTAATTAGTAGGACTTGTATTGGTAAATAATCGTTATCTCCCAAAAATTTGAAATTTGGAGAGAAAAACTGACGTGTGTGGCAGTTTAATAAAATTCTCTCAACAATATGAACATTTCTACTCAGACCAATATAGGCCCCAGAAGAAAGTTTTAGTCTTTTGGTGATAAAAGTTTTCATTGACTGAAGTACTTAATTTATATATATATATATATATATATATATATATATATATATATATATATATATATATATATTTTTTTTTTTTTTTTGAAAGCTGTGTTAATCCAGTTGCACAAACATTAGTTTATCTGTATTTTATTTATGGAAGTGTCTCTTTTTGCATCCAATTCACTACAGATGAAGTATAATTAAAAGAATCTGATTGGAATTTATAGAAACTAGCCAAATACCTGTCATTACAAACATTTCTCTTAATAATAATTTAAAAATAATCCAGCACACAACGTTATTTCATTTATGGTAACTGGATTTTTGGTGATTGAGGATTTTATTGCAGCTGCCATTGTTTGTTGGCCTTTTGGCTAAGATTAAAGTGCAATATCTGCTCTTATCAGTTTAATCGGATTCTCTCTCTCTCTCTCTCTCTCTCTCTCCACTTCTATCTTCTCTTCTTTCTTTCATTTTCTTACTGAAACCAAATAATGTCTTTTCCCTCTTTCCACGTGATCATTATTTATGAGGTATTGGCAGGACGTAATGGTCGTGTGAACTAATGAAGAAAGGGACAAACACAATTATAATAGGATTGATTATTAAAGTTTTGTAAATGAGTTGCTAATTTTAACAAAATTGAAAATGAGTTGCTAATTTTAACAAAATTGGAAAAAAAATTGTAAAATGGAAAATTCCTGAAAATTTTAATTAAGTTTAAATGATATTATAGTTTTCACTTTTAAAATTTACATCTTGGTATAGTTTTTTTTTTTTTTTTTTATGTTTGCAATGTTATAGAAAGTTTTAATATGTGAATTTAGAATATAAAACCAGGTGAATAATTGACATGTATTTGTTCATTGTTTTATGAAACTTTTTTTTTTCTTTCTTTAGATAATTGCCATGACAAATTTTGACGGTGAGGAACGAGAAAGAGTAAAACAAATGATTCTGTCTATTGGTGCTAAATACACTGGTTACCTGACACACTGTAACTCGGTACTTATCTGTAAAAGGTAACACACCTCAACTGAATTATTTCATACCCTTTCCTTGTCTTTTTAAGTACTTTTCATCTGTCCCCCACCCATCCTGCCAAAAAAAAAAAAAAAACTTAAAGCAACATTGTAATGAATTTCATTTGAACTTTAATTATTGACTTCTTTTTCTTCTATGTCCATGGGGGAAATAATGGCTCTCCACGACTTCCTATCCTTTACACTATTTAAATTGTTCAGACTGTTCTCATCTTTATTGCCATATTCAAAATGTTTCAGCCGTTGTACAGTGATATTAATTGGAATTTTGAATTGAACCCTTTATTTAGTCCATTCCAACTAATATCACCTAATGAAGGCCGAAACGTCGTGAATACGGCAATAAAAATGAGGACAACAGTCTGAACAATGTAAATAGTGTAAATAGTTACAATACTCATCTCAGAAATATAGACAGATGTTCCTATCCTTTGTAGCTCGATGTAAGGCTTGTCTTTTTACTATCCCTCATAATGCCTATTCTGCCAACTGTTTACACAAAGCTCATTAGACAGATTAGCTGTTGCTTTCCTCAATCCATCTTCCCTTCATTATATCCTGTGAGTGTCAATTTCTCCAAGTCCTCTCTTTTCGTGTCCTATAAATTTCAGCTCTCTCTCTTTCTGATTTAAGTATATTAGGTGCCCTTTTTATTTCCATTCTCCTTTCTGTCTTCCATCAACATGGCTGATGCTAACCTCCAGAAGAGTGACTCATTCTACCTTCTTGGACTAATGACATGAAGTGTAAAAATTCTATTGAATCAATTGCTAGGTCTGCTGCTAGCAAAGTTGGTTCAGTGTCATTCTAGACAATTTTTCTTGCCAGAATCTACAAGAGTTGACTATAATGGTCATAAGCTGACCAACATATAAATGTAAGTAGACACACCAGTTGGTAGACTAAAAGACATGCAAGTCTACCAACATTACATTTATATCTAGGTTAGCCTATGAACTTTACAGCCGACCTTCATGTCTTACACGTTCATAAGTCTACCATTTATTCATGCATTGAATTTTGCTGTCACATTTGGTTTGGTGCTTCTGGTATACATCTAGAGATTCTTGACAAAATCCAAAGAATCTGCAATGTTATTGGCCTTAACCTGGCACCTTGGCTTCAGTCACTTTCCCAGTCATAACACAACTCCCATGTCTTTTCTATAAATACTTTCATGGTAATTATTCTGATGAACTTTCCTCTATGGTACCTAGATTTTACAAATTTAAACGCAGTACTAGATTGCCAGCTAGGTCTCATTATTTTACAGTTGAAATGGCTAGCTGTGATTGTAAATTCTGTACTAACAATTTCTTCTCTCACACTTGTGAAATTCTTTTCCAAGTTTTTGCTTTCCAGTCGAATTTGATCTTTAAAAATTTAAGTGCAATGTCAATCATTATCTTATGTCTTCTTAATTCCTATTCTTTTTTTTTAATTCTTTGATTGTCCTCTCTTTCGTTAGTAATGATTTTTCTCAGATTCTTAAGTTAAGTCAGATTTATTAAGTCATTGCATCTTTATTGCATTGCTTGGTGTGAAATCATTAAAAAAAACTTTGTCAGTACTCTCACATGTTCAATCCATTATATTCTTAGCCCCCCCCCCCTACTGTTGAACCACATTTCTGTTGATTCAAGTCACCTCTTCATTTGTGACAAGATTGTTCAGCATTCACTGCCATATTGGAAGACATATCAGTTTAGAACTCTTTTCTTTGTTTCTAATGACATTTTACTTAATATATTGCTTAACTTTTGGAAGACATTTTGACTCTGAATAGTGTTTATGTATTTTTTTTAATATCACTATTAACTCAAATTATTGACTAGTGTTGTGATAAAAGTAAAAAAGTAGAATGTTGTCTTGTAGCTTAAGAAATAATAAAAGTTACTTCTTAATATAAGTGTTGAGTAAAAGAATTTTTTTTTAAATTAGAAATGCAAAATGTTATTGCTGTTTTCCCATTATAGTTACAGTTTGTACATGAAATATATATGGCAAGCTAACAATAAACATTTTTTTTTCTCATTCTTTTAGTGTTGAAGATTTTGCATTTTAGTCTTTTATTTAAATGTCTATTTTAGTTAACATGTATCTTGTTTTTGTTCTCTGTCTACAAGTTGCATCCTTTTTTACACTTATTTTTTATAAGAAAACAAACCCTGAGAAATATAGTGACAATGCTCATAGACTTTGTTATTTATAATGCAAGGTGCCTAACATTTACAGCCCTTGGTATAACGGGGCATTTACAGCCCTTATATTTTTTTAAAATCAAAAACAGATTGAGAACAAAAACTTGAGCTTTCAGTCTTCACATGAAAACTTGTGTCGAATAAACAAGCATGTGGTATAATGGATAATGGCTTGGAATTGGAAATTGGAGAGCCATGTTCAAATTATAGTCAGGGTCATTATATTCATTTACATGCAAATGCCCTTTGGAAAGGTATGAATCCACCTCTGTTCCTCCCAGCTAAGGGTTAAACATTGTGACTTGTATTGGCAAAAAACATTATTTCCCAAAAATTCTTATAATCTAAAAATATTTTCTGGCTTTAAATAACCTGCAAAAGGTTGATAAGCCATAAAAAAATAAGCACTCAATCTAAATAAACTGGCAGGTATGGAACTTTTTTTTTCTTTCTGTACTATAGAAATGTAAAAAAAAAATCTTTGTGGAGTCAGTTTATCACTAAGTTGTAAAAGAAATTTGTTCTCTAATGAAATATCCGTAACTGAATTTGCTTTTCAAACACAGCCATGTATTTTATCTCAATAGATTTTGACCCTTTTACATTTGTTTTATATATATATATATATATATATATATATATATATATATTTTTTTTTTTTTTTTTTCAGACCTGAAGGCCTGAAATTTGAGAAGGGCAAAAGAATGGCGTATCCCTGTTGTAAACACTCAGTGGTTAATTGATCTTATTCTTGCTGATCTTGATGCCTTACGATTACCAGTTCCAAATAAATATCTTCAATTAAACCAGGCAGAACCATTTAAAATGGATCTTAGCAAAGTCTCACACCTTATGGGTAAGTTTCATACCATATTTATCTTTTTTTTTTTTTTATTAAGAATTTAATTTGTTTAGATTATGAAATTTTTTAAACTTTTATTTTCCTTTTAATGTCTTTGGTGTAGATTTTATTATTATCCAGTGTCTTTATATAATGCGACTTTTCAATGATTTCTATTTCTGAGTTTGTGATTTGTTCATTTTTTTAAATTTTTTTTTTTATAGTGGGCTGGTGCTCTCCCCTGAAAATCACCCGAGATGCTTGGAAAGTGAGTTTTGTTATCAAAGGCTGACATAACAGCTTAGCTTTTTACTTATATCTCTACCACAGCCATCCTTAAATGAGTATCATCTATTGTTTCATTGTGTTTGGTGGGTTCTTCAATCCTCCTCAGTTGTTTATCACATTTCCTGTAATCTTCTCTTTATGGTGTGTTGAACATTGAGAGCTGATATTTATGGCGCTGGTTTGGGCGAGTTGAATGCCAAAGAGTTAAATGACTCACAAAGGCTTGAGAAGCCATAAAAAACAAATACACATAAGAGAAATGAGGCATAAACCCAAAGAATGACAAAGCCAGTCTGTTCAGTTAGGAGCAGAATCATCTGTAGACAAAAAATATCTCATTCTTTCTCTGTCTCCATGGCTTGACACAAACATTTCTCTGAATATGTCTTTGACACAATAGACAAATGCTTGAAAACTATGAATTACATAACCACACACAACCTCTAACCTACTTTTTTACTTTTCCAATTTTAAACTCGGATCTGTATTTAGATCCGTCAAAAATAGAAATATGCCCTAATTAAAAAAAGGTTGTAATATCATTAACCCCCTCCCATTTAAACTCTTCAATATAATACTACTTTGCTTACAAAAGTAAATCATTTTTTTTTCTGAAGTTATTCAACATTGTTTGAAAATGGGACAAAACAGGGGAATTTCCATGTTGTGATGATAAAATATTTTAAAAATATTTTAAATAATACTTATAAACTTTTAACAGTAGACATTAAAAAACCCCAAAAGAAACCAACTAATTCTTTTGTTTCTTTTCTTTTGTAGAGATTCACTCCTGCCATTAAGAAGAATATTTCTTTGAATGAAAACTTAGAAGATCCTGGTTTGAAAAGCTTTTCATCTGATGTAGAAGGTCCTGTGAGAAAAAAACCAAGGTTACTAAATTTCTTTTTTATTTCTTGATAACCTGTTTTTATGCAGAGGTGGAAATTACCAGTGATCTTTCATTTATATTCTGCAATGTACAAGATCTGAAATTCATCTCGTTATTACATAAGGGTTTTTTTTTTTTTTTTTTTTTTGTCTTAAATTTTGGAATTGTGAAAACAGAATAAAGACAACTCTAATGTTACTTTAAAGAATTTCATTTGATGTCATGATTTAAGATTTCTTGATCAAAATCAAGTGTTTGTCCATTTCAAGGGAAAAATAGAAGAAATGTCACTGCAAATGAGTTTTAATTCATACCATCTTTTAAAAACAACCACCAGAAATGATGTCCGTACTTCACCCATGTGCTTTTTTTAAATTTTGACAGATAAAGTTTAATCTAAAATTTGAAATCTTAACACTATCTTTCCTCCAAGTTTGTATAAATACAAGTTAGAAAATAAAATCTTCACATTTGTCTTGATAAAATTCCTAAAGGGACTGAATGTGTTGGTAAAGAATTTTTTATCTTTTATTTATAAAGTTCAATGTTGCTCCTCTCTTTGTTCTCTGTATTTCTTTATTGTACAGAATTTTCAGATTAGTTCACATCAAATGAATAGAGGAAATTAAGGGACTAATGTTTTAAACAAAATCTTACATTTTTTTTTTTATTTTTTAGTTGAAATAATTGCTCATTTGATGATCCAATCCTTTCACAATTGGGTTTGTTGTAAAAATATCCCTAATTTTGTAATTACTTTATAAATTTTTGAATAAAACTTTCTTTTCATGTTTATAAAAATGGTAAATAATAAACCCTTATAAAAGGGGAAAAAATATTGCATTGTATTTGGCTCACGTATTTTTATAATCTTTCTAAATAAACATTGGCAAGGGGGTAATAGTGATTTTTTTTTTTTTTTTTTTTTTTTTATGTAGGTATGAAGGTTAAACATTAAATTCTCATTACAGACATTTCCTTTTCTGTTTTAAAACACTGTATTTGGCTTGGTTTATGTGTAGTGGGTAAAAACCTTTGCATGTCCCTTTTTAAGGGTTGTCTTGCATCTTCCCTCATTCAGAATCCCTTATAAGTTATGATAATTGGATCTAGAAATGATGCAAGACATCTACATATAAGAGAGCATTTATTCCAAATTTACAATAATTTAAATTGGCTAAAAACTGTTCATGGTGTAAACATAGAGCATGACTCTTGCTGAAGACGCTTTCCACCAATTGGCCAATGATTACCCCACATTGCGTTTTGAATCTCCACAGTGGTCACTGAAAACTGGGAAAGAGTGCAATGCATGTTCACAAGGTAACATGATGAAAGAAAAATGCCATGTCAAGAAATAAGAATGTGAACACTGTTTCCCCATATTATATGTAGGTGTTTTATTCAGGGCTTTACCTGCTCATCCAGGTGGGTAGATGGGTGAAACTTGAAACAACTTCTACCATGACAGCTTTTTCCCCTACTATTTGCCCATCTACTCTTCTCGACATGTTGGCTGACAATATGAAATGTAGGCTTTGTAAGCACATGGTAAATACATCCATCTCCTACCAAATCTCTCTGATCCCAAGCATGATAACGTTAATATAGACCAGCATATCTGGATATAACCTATTTCTGGTGTTTATTGCCACTTGATCTCCAAAAATCCCTTTACTTCCCATTCTCCCCTTACTTAAAGTGAATGCTTCTTAGAAGACTGAACTTCAAAAGCAACCATCCACTTGCTGCTTATCAAAAAGAAACATTTGAGAAGGAGAGATAAAAACCACTTCTTTCTTTTCTCTGTGGCTGTCCATAGTTTCACTCATGGCATTTAATTTCTAGGATAAGGGGTTTACTTTTTGACTATGGTCCTCATCTTTGTTGTTGTTATCACAATGTTTTGGCCATTCTACCATCAGGACTTTATCAAGTGTATATCGATCTGGCTAACTTAAAGGAATTCTAAACTGAACTTTCTATTTAATCAAATGTAGTGCAGGTTGTTCTTGTTCCATTGTCTATATCTAAGGGAGACAACTCGTCTAGTTTTTATTTTTAGTAGTACTACTCAGTTATAACACATCCTGTTTCCACTGAGTTCTAGTACACACTGCCCGGCCCAGAGATTGAACTCACTATATCACCAAATTCACAAACCAATGATTTAATCCACTAGACTATTGTTTTGTATTGATATATGTCTGATGAAGGCCAGAGGGCTGGGATGTTGTGATAACAACAACAAAAATGAAGACACTATTTACATTATTCAAACTATTGTCCTCATCTTTCTTGCCATACTTATCACAACGTTTTGGCCATTGTATGCTCCGGCCTTCTTCAGGTGGTTGGAATGTTGAACTGAACCCTTTATTTCACTCACTGGGGTAGACTGTTTCAGTTCCATGTGCCATGTCTAATGGATGTCAGTTATCTCCTGTTAATTCCCCTCTCCAAGTTCTCCACCGCCTTAACCAAGTATCGAACTCACACTCTTTGGGTCCTGTCACTGGATTTAATGCCTTTATCCACTGTGCCATGTGATAAATATGGCAACAAAGATGAGGACAATAGTCCAAATAATGTAAATAGTGTACATAATACCTCATCTCAGAAATATAGACAGATAATGAAAAAAGAGAGAACAATAGACTGAATGTAAATAGAGTAAATAATTGCATTTATATATATGCATGCTAATTTTCTGGGATCTTTATAGTAAATCTGTTATAACTAACTCTTAGCAATTATAATATTATGTCTGGCTTAGTCTACTCACCATGACATCTGTTAGAAATTCTGCCTCGTCAGTCATGTATGGAAATATACATGATCGCCTAAGCGTGTATCACGCATGTCACATAACTGAAAAGAGGACTGATCAAAAGGTATCGAGACTGTTTCTATAGTAACGGAGATAAAGTAGGTTAACCTCTAGTTTTTCTGTACATTTCCTTCTTCTGGTAATCATACTTGTATGTTCAACAAATTCTAGGGGTGTTCATACACCAAAAATATCATAAAATACTTACCCAGGTTCTTCCTTCGTTGTGGGCCTTTTTTTCAGTAAACCTTTTCTTTAAGATTCCAATGCCTTCTGTGTTCCCATCTTTTTTTCCTTTCGCCATATATATATATATATATATATATATCATTTTGCCAATTTGTGACCTTATGCCATTTTGCCACATTTCTTTTTCCATTTTTATATAATTTTTATATAATTGTTATCGATCTTATTCTTTTTTGACCTGATAACAACTTGTCAAACAGCAATTTAATTTTTCTTGTGAATGTCTATTCTGCTGGTTTCATGCCTGTAAGCGTATTGGGGTTCAGTGTTATCCGGTATACTCTCAAGAATTTTTGTAGTGCTTCTTCTGTTCACTTTTTCATTGCTTGCTTTTTTCAAAGCTCTCTTAAAATAGTACCCACAAACCGTTCAACTTGTCTGACCTTGGGTGATATGGCAGGGTAGTAATATGTTCAATTGAGAACATTTTATAAAATTCTTTAAATTCATAAGCAGTGAATTGTGTACTGTTATCTGAGGTTATAGCATCCAGAATGCCATATCTTGCAAACAGTTTATGTAAAAAAATTTGCTGTAACCATGGAAGTTGTTGTTTTTTTTTTTTTTTTCCCCAACTTAGAAATTTCAGGTCATTTAGTAAAGCTATCCATTATGACAAAATAATGTGATCCATTTGTTGTACCTGTGAAATCTATGTGCAGTCTTGACCATGGAATATCTCTCTTTGGCCAAGGTTGTAATTTCATGGTAGGTGATTTTGCTGCCAGAGTACAATATCTGCAGGCTTTTAATAATTTTTCAATGTCTTGATCCATTTTGGTCCGATATAATCTCATAAAAGATTTCATCCTTGAAATTTCCAGATGTCCACTATGAAATTCATTTAATATCTACTTTTGTAATATGCTAGGTATTGCTACTCTTTGCGCAAACATCAGTACTCTGTCAGATAGTGAGTAGGTATTCAAGTCTGGATTGTGTTCTAAAAATTATCTGTTTCTTACTTTCTTTTTTTTTTTTTTTCAAAATAAACATATCTTGTTCTGCTTTTACTTTCATTTCTTCCAGGGTAACTGGTAGTTTGTGTACTCCATTGCACAATGTGTTTTTGATTTCTATTTCACTTTTCAATGCTGCAATAACAGTTTCCTCAAACGGTTCAGCATTTTTTGGTATCAATTTTGATAACCCATCAGCATGTCCTAATTTTTTGGATGGTTGGTATTCCATCCTGAAATCATAATTTAATAAGATGGTACCTCAGTTAATCTATTTGCCATATGTATAGGAATTCCATTTTTTTTTTTTTTTTTTTGAACCATAAATTGATAAGAGGTCTGTGGTCTGTCTGTAAATGAATACTCATTCTGTGTATAAATTTGTGAAATTTTTTTCACTGCAAATATTGTTAATTTCTCTTTTTTGATCTGGCTATTTTTTTTTTCTGTCAGTAGTATCAAATGGGAAGCATGTGTGACTGCCTTCATATTACTGCCTTCATATTACTGTCATCATATTTATGTAGAATCACTGATCCTATACCATAGTCACTAGTACCTGAAGCCAACATGATTTCTGTTTTTTAGATCGTAATGTGCTAATGATAAGTCTAACATTAGTACTTTCTTGATTTCTTCAAATGCCTTCTGACACTTATCAATCCACTCAAGTTCCACTTTACACCTTTCTTAAGCAAATTGTTCAGTGAAGCTCTCAAATTTTGTTTTCTGCTTGCTTTCCATGTGGTTTTGTTGATTATTCTGATATCTCTACTAGTGTCTAATTGCATTTTTACATCCAAATTATTAATTTTCACATACACAAATTTTCTTTGCTTTTCTGTAATTATTTTTCTGTCACAATTCTGTGTATGAAAGTTTTTCTGTGAGAACTTTCCTTGCTTTAGTCTTACCGTGTCACTTTTTATGTCCTACTTTTCCACATTTGTAACACTTTGAATCCTTAAAGGGACAGTTGAATCACATGTAACCTTCCACATCTGAAACATGGATTAGTTTTTCTATTTACACATTCTTCTTTAGCTAGTATGTATGTGCAGTATGATGTCTCATTTATGATTCTCTGACATTTGTCTGATATTTCTTCTAGTATTAGTATTTTATATGGTTCAAGCTTTGTTAGAATTCTAAAATGTATTTCTGCGCTTTTTTTTTTTCTGTTAACCCTTGATCGAAAATTAACCCTTTAAACATCCAGTCAGTTTGTTTAATTTGAATGTTTCACATTCCTTGTTAATGATTCCAGCATATGTAACAAAATGTTTGTCTTCTTTTTTCGTCAGATTCATACAATTTGAACAAGCATTGAATAACAAACTTTACTGTTTCTTTAAAGCAAATTTCTCCCTTTTTTTTTTTTTTTAGTAGTATAAAATTACAGTATTTTTCGTGTTCTATTCGTGCTAACTTTCTCGTCAAGTCTTGTTATTTTCTTGTCTTCTCAGTCATTGCATTCTTCTCTTAAAATTTGCTTGTATTTTCTAAGATAAGCAGAAAAAATAATTCCATCATCTGAATGGCATGTGATTCAGTTATGACATTTGCCATCATGTCAGGAGTGAAAGAACTTGGGGACTTTTCCGTTTTCTTCTGTATTATTTCAGTTAAATTTTGTTGTTTCTGGTGTTTCAACAATTGCTGATTTGCCTTTGTATTTTTGCCACTTTGTCTAATAATTCTTCCATATTTGAAGAATATCTTTTTTTTTCTTTTTTATGCACAGAGGAAAAAAATTAAACTAATGTAGTTCTAATTTCTTGTCACTTTTATCATGTGTGCCAAAGCAAAAAGTCCGTATCCGTATGTGTTTCAATTCCCTGTTGATGTGGTTATAATATTATGTCTTACTTAGTCTACTTGCTGTGGCGTCTGTTAGAAATTCTCTTGATTGACTCCAACAGACTTTTACTGACTCTGAGTTTTTTTATTTAAGGCCTCTTGCCTAGTTCATTTGTGTTACTGGCAGTGTGTTACTTACTCCACAACAAAATCTTTGAATTTAATCTGATTATATATTTTCTCTTTCTGCAGGCTTTTAGGAGATGCCATTCCTGCTTCCTCTATGACCAATCCAAGAGTTTTGTTTACTGGTTTTGGTCATAGTATGGTGAACAAATTACGAGTGGTAGGTATTTTTAACTGCACCTCTCCTTGAACTTTTGAAATTCTTTTATTTCTCACTAAATTTATACTGTACACTAGAATTTACTAACTAGTTGTTCTAGCTCTATGTTTCTGTCTTTGGTGTACGAGATCTGTGTGAAAAGTAACTGGATTAGTGTCACAGACAATTTATTCCAGTTCCAAACAACAAACTTTATATTTTCCTCTTCAACGTAATCCCTCTCAAGTCTAATGCATATTACCATCTTTCTCTGCCATGCTTCTATGAACTACAGGAAGTATTCTTCTTGGATGTCTCTCAGCGCTATCATTATGGCCCCCTGATGATACCCTTCAGCTTGGGGAAAAGAAAAAAAAAATCACACTGAGCAAAACCAGGTGAATAGGGAGGTTGTTCCAGTATGGCAGTGTTCTTCTTGAACATGAACTGCAGGATGCTCAGGGTGTCGTGAGCAGGTGCATTGTCATGGTGACATAGCCACAATTTGTCCTGCCATAACTCTTGTCTCTTCTCACTACTGATCGAAGCAAACGCTGCAGGATCTCTTTGTAAACTTGCTGACTGATTGTCTGGCCCTGTGGCAGGAACTCACTGTGGACAATGCCGGTAACTCACGCTGCACACCCAGTCCCTTTTCATACAGACCTTGTATATGTGCAATATGTCAACCAACTAGTGGAGTACCTACAACTATTTGATTGTTTTTGGCATCTATAGTTTTGTAATAGTCAAACTAATTTTGTGGAATGTGTATTAAATCAAAATTTTGTCCCCAACAGATGTTAATGTAAATAATGAATATAAAAATAAAACCTGGAAATCGACATCAAATTTTCTCTGATGTAAATTAAGAATTAGTTTAACAGTTTATAAATCTGCACATTATTAGTATATGCTAAGTTTAGTGTAGCTTGACACAAGGCCACTTGTATAGGGTACCCAGCCAGGATCAAACCCACTACTCAATTGTAATTGTCAACCAGACTAGTTTGCTAAAGCACTTTGTACATTCTCTTGTTGATTAGTACCATTCTGGAAATAATTGATACAAAATGAGCTGGATTTGAACCTATGCTTAAAGCTTAGTCAATTCAAACATGTATCCTCTCACTGGCCTATTTGGTTTAATTGATATAAGGACCATATCAAAAGTGCTAAAAGCCAAAAGTGGAGTTGTGGTCATTATATAAAGATTACCTTGAAAATTTAAGGTTAGCTTAAGCTATGCTGCGAAGTGACTGTTGAAAAGGATTGGTTCAACATAACAAAAAAACTTTCATTTTTGGTAAACACATGGAAAATGTTAACAACCTTTTAGAGAAATAGTGAAATTTTCTATGTTACAGATTAGATGTTATTCTTGTAGACTTTGCTGTAGAATATAGTGCCACAAACCCAAGTGTTGCTGCAAGTATGAATTGGTAAATCAATTTAATGCTTGTGTTCTGTCGTCATTAAAAATAAGATGTTCAACCAAGAAGTGAGCAGTCACCCTGACAGTCTTAGTATGACACGTGTACTTATGTGTCTCGTAAGATGACTGATCCAAAGTCAGTTTGAGTCTCTGAGAAAGTGAAGGTAAGAAATTTAATAGACCAAGAGAAACAAGAGAAAAAACTGTTTTCCTTCTGAGAGAAAAGAATAAAAGGGGATCAGATTGTTCTTAATATTTTAGTAGTAAATACGTTGGACATTGTTTACCCCCTTTCCCTTTAAGAATTTATGTAGATTTTGAGATCCTAAAGTTGAAATATGAATGAAACCTTTCATGTTTGTTTTACTGTTCAATTTATACAATGTTTTATTCGTATGTCAGACCCTACTGTGATGATTTAGTCTTTGTGTGGCATCTTCCCCAGTTGAACCCAGAGAAACAAGAAAAACAAAGTTGATGCACACATGTGGGAGTCTTTATTGTCAAGAACTTGAATGGGGCTAGTCTTTAATTGAGGACTTGTGATGCTTTGAAACTTGATTATCTTTATTGTTTATATATTATATCCTGTATTAAAAACAGAAATGGATATTTGAAATGAAATGACATTTTAGACTAGAAGTCTTCAATATGTCACATCAATGCTCTTTGTTTTATAAAGTGATTGTGTAAAGGTCTCAAGTTGTCATTAGAATTATTCATTGTCACAAGGATAAAAAGAAGCAAGGCACTTCATATTTTAATTTAGATCATAAAAAAAAACATTTTAAGTACTTTTGGTCAGTTCTCTGAGGCCCAAGCGGTGGGTAATCTCTCAATGAGGCTTTGAACGCCTATTGGAACGTGTGTGAGGATATCACCATTTTATATTTTTAATTTTGTGCATATGTGTTGATTGTTTTTGATTTTGCTGACTACACAGTATAGTAAGATTAGTTAGGCACCACTGTGAGAAAAAAAAGTCCATGATGCAATTCTCTCCACCAGAAATTTGGTAACGGCATACTTAGCAGTTGTGCTGAAAGCTCCAATGCGAACATTTCAGAATGTTTAGGAGTCAATCTGAGAACAGCACAGAGGATTTGGAAAGAGTTTGATGAGTCTAATGGTGATTACGAAGGTACGACAGCTCGGAAAACTCATTGTGATTGTTTTGATAAGAAAAGAACTCCCAAATTTGTTGGTGAGGGCCTCACACTTAACAGAGAGACCTACATCACTTGCCTTGAGGAAGTAGTGCTGTCCTGGGTTAAGAGGATGGCTGTTAGGACTGCACCATGCCACACAAGCAGAAGAACCCAGTCATGGCTGTCAGAGAATTTCTGCGACCACATAACCCCCTTACATCTGGCCACCTAACTCCCCAGGTTGCAAACCCCATGATTATTATGTGTGGGGCGCAGTTGCATGAGAGATCAACAAAACTCCTTGTAATACCAAACATGAACTGAAGGCAAGGATTACGGCAGCATTCACCAATTTAAACAAGGAGACCATGCAAGAGATTCCAAAGTCATCTGGAGGCCGTGGTCGAAGCCAATGGCGATTTTTATTGAATAAATTTACTCTTTAGCATTTCAAGTTATTTTTGTGTAATTTTGGTAAATATATCTCTTAAAGTGAGATGCGTTATTTTCATTTTTATATCATTTAGACGACAATTTATGCATCGCATCCTGTATATATGATCCATTGCTAAAGATTCTGGAAAAATGATGAGTTCCCTGTACTGCTCCAGCTAGTACTTGACTCCCCCTGCTATGCTCTATCTTTACAAGAGCCAAATCAGACTGAAAAAGCAGTACTGGTGCTGCCCAGTCTTGATAGTGTTCAAAAGTGACTATGTGACGTTGTGGGTGATGAACTATTTTTCCTCCTACAACCCTTTACCCCACAGACAAAATGTCCACAATCTCTCACTACTCTTTGGCTATTGCCATGGCAAATGTTCTGACAAGCTATATTCCTCAGTTCCACCAGTTCTAACTTTCACAGCAAAGAACTGTCATGCCATGTACACTGGAGGTCAAACCATCTTCATCCCCTTTGTATTCCATTAGTAAGAAGGAAGTTCCACCTGGACAGCTTCTTCACACAAACCATTTCTTTGTAGAACCAACTCCTGAAAAGATGCTTTCCTGACAACTATAATTTTAACCTCTTCATGACTTAACTGTTATCTTTCCCACATACCCTCATAAATTCTTACCTCTTATTGTTCATACAGCAACCTCTACTTTTAGTGGCTCTTGGGTCTTGTATAGGGTGAAAATTGATTTTTAAAAAAAAATATTTCACCCATCTAATTTGATGTTTTTTTTGTTTTTTTTTTAAATGATCCATATAACAATATGATCTTTATACATGAAAGTATTTGTGATTTTGAAATAGAATTTAATTTTTTTTTTAGGAAAGGCAGGCATTTAAATTCAACTGGATTGTTTAAGAAGTATTGGTTAAAAAAAAAAAAATTGTTAATAATATATTACTGAAATTGATATTCAGTAGAATAAAAGCTGAGACATGACTTGCTATCTGTACCGTTGGATATTCTTTTATAGTGTTGAAAACAATTTGATTGTAATCTATTAAGTGTTCACCTTTTCTGAAAGTTGAGACTGAATATATGGTTGCAAACCTTTTTTAATAAATAAAAAAGCAACTAGAAACATTTGTTCACACTTAAAAACTATTCTTTTTACTAGTGTTAGATTGTTGCATTCAAAATGAATGCCATAATGAAGAAAAAAACAAGGGCAGATAACTCTGAATTGTTATGAGTAACCATTGATTTCTTAGGTGCATTAAAATGCTTTTCTTTTTTTTTTTTTTTTTTCTTTTTTTTCAGAAATTGCAAGAAATTGTGTATGTGTGTGTGTGCACCAAATTTCAGGCCAATTCATGTAATTTTGTTATCATATGATCTGGAATTTCAAAGTGTTCCTTAAGAGAATTAAAACTTTTCTCTATCAACACAAGACTTTTTAGCATTATATGATTTATAGACCTGTTATTTTTGAGAGTTATTTATAAACTGGACATTTTGCTGTTTAAGCACCAAAGAAAACCTTAAAGTTAATCCATTTTAGGAGTACATAATAAAATCTCTTGACGTTAGAAAATAAGGTTTTCATTATTTTACAACTTGACAAGATTTGCCTTAAATTTTGAAAATATGAAGAATGGCATGAAGTTGTTAATTGTTCATCCATGCATTGAATATTGCTGTCACATCTACTCTAGGTATATACTGGAAGATTCATTCTGATCTATAACTAGAAATTCTTGACAAAATCCAATGAAGACTTTACAATATTATTGGTAATCTCAGCTTCAGTCACTTTCCCGCTGCTGTAACATAGCTTCCCTGTGCATTTTTTTTTTTTTTTTTTATAAATGTTTTCATGGTAACTGTTCTGATGAACATTCCTCTTTGGTATCTCAACTTCATGAATTGAATTACAGTACTAGATTGGCAGATAGGTCTCATAATTTTGCTGTTGAAATTGTTAGTCATAAACATAAATTCCATGCTAATAGTTTCCACTCCTACACTTCTTTCTTTTCAGTCAGCTATGATCTTCAAAAATTTAAATGCAACATCAATAATCATCTTTTGTCTGCTTGAATCCTGTTCTTTTTACTGTTCTCTCCGTTTCTTTCACTCTCAATAACCCTTTGTGTCTTAGTGGCATTTAACACCTTGCTTTGGATGAAATAATTAAAAAAAAAAAAATGTACAAAATGGGATTCAATTTTAATGATTGATTAGTTACTATATTTCTCTAATTCTATCTCTAATCTTTTTCTTCATTCCTTTTATTTCAGATGGTCGAAAAGCTTGGTGGTTGTGTCATTGACAATCCACGCCAATGCACTCATCTTGTGGCCAAATCCCTCAGTCGTACCATGAAATTTTTCATTTCTATTAATGTCTGTAAATATATCATCACCAAAGAATGGCTGGAAGACAGTATTGCTAAAGAAAAATTCCTGGGTAAGTTTGTTTATATTTCTCAGATGAGGTATTGTAACTATTTACACTATTTACATTGTTTGGACTGTTGTCCTCATCTTTATTGTCATATTCACAATGTTTTGTCTGAAGAAGGCCTGAGCATACAATAACTGAAATGTTTTGAATGTGACAAAGATGAGAACAACAGTCTGAACAATGTAAATAGCATAAATAATTTTAATTCAATAAAGATTTGAGAATTAAGTCATTTAAAGATGTGGGCTTTTTTATGTTGGATTGGAAGCACATGTTGTTATTGCTCGTGCATGTTGTATATTGAATCAGTTGCTAAGTTTGCAGCTAGGAAAGTTGGTTTGCTGTGTTGAGCTAGACAATTTTTCTTGACAGAATCCATCGTAGTTATAAGTCTATCATTTGTCCATGCTTAGAATATTGCTGCCACACATAGTCTAGTGCTCTTGTTATATATTTAGAAATTCTTGATAAAATCCAAAGAATCTGCAATGTTATTGGTCCTGACCTGGCATCTGTTTCAGTCCCTTTCCCACCACCATAATGTGGCACCCCTGTGCCTTTTTTATAAATACTTTCATGATAATTTTTCTGACGAACTTTCCTATATGATACCTAGACTTTATGAATGAAAGTGCAGTACTAGATTGGCAGAAAAAAAAATCACCATTTTACAGTTTCATTGGCAAAATGTAAACATAAGTCCTATAATAACAGTTTCTTCTATCACACTACTTGCTTGTAGAATTCTTTTAAATACAATGTCAATCGTTATCTTCTGTCTTTTTAATTCTTGTTCTTTTATTGTCCTTTCTCCTTAATAGTAGTTTTTCTCATATTCTCTAACACTCAGTAACCCCTTGTGTCCTAGTGGCTTTATTGCCTTTGATCTTCAAAAATTTAAATGCAATGTCAATTGTTATCTTCTGGCTTCTTGTTCTTTTATTGTTCTCTCTCCTTAATAGTAGTTTTTCTCATGTTCTCTAACACTCGGTAACCTCTTACATCTTAGTGGCTTTGTTGCCTTGATTGGAGTGAAATGATTAAAAAAAAAAAAAGACAAGAAAAAGGTTTGAATGTTTGGTGAATTTCACTTTCCAAACTGTGGGCAATAATAAACCATTTCTAAGTGTTCTGTTACCCCCCCAATACAAAACCCGTATTTTGTTTTACTTCCCCCTTTGTTTGTGCTGTTCTTTCAGTTTAGTTAATTTTAAAAAATACTGTTTTTTTGACGACTTCCTGTTAACCCTTCTCCTTCTTTTATTCTTATTATTCTTCTTCTAATTATTCTATTTATTTCTTTTTTTAGTTTTATCCTTTGATAAAACTGCTGATGAAGAGGATTTTGTCTTCAAAGTTTTAATTGCCTTAAGCTATTTATCTATGTTCAACACAGATGTGTACTTGGGAGGCAGAACAAGAATAAAAATCATAATTCCTTGAACATACCTATCTAAATTTCTGGCATGTGGAGTTATCATTATTTACATTTTGAGGAATGTTCTTATTTTTGTTGTTATTATCCCAACATGTTAGCTGTTTTGTCCTCTGGCTTTCTTCACGTATCTGTTGATCCAGGGTAGCCTTAAGGCAATTTTGAACTGAACCCTTTATTTAATTTACAGGAGTAGATTGCTCTTGTTCTGCTGCTCATGTTTTCTGAATATCTAATCTTGTTCTTAAAGTAGTTCTGTTCAATTATTGCCAGTCTTGTTTCCACTCAGTCCAAGTCTGTTTACCCAGTCCAGGGATTGAACTTACAATTACTGTGTCACCAAATTCATAAGCCAATGCTTTGATCCACTAGGCTATTGAACCTTGAAGTTGGAGCCTTAAACCTAATATTTCTTCTATCCTGTCTGATGCTGTGATGTGGCTTGACTTCCTCCTCCACTGCTGCTTCTCTTCATTAACATTTGATTTTTTGAATTTGATTCAATGCTTTTGTTGAATTTGATTATCATAAATTAACAGCTGCACTAAGATTAATATTTTACAATTGTAAAAACATAGGGAAAAAAATCCATTAAAAGCTGATTAAAAAAAAAAAAAAAAAAAAATCTGCTTCTTTTTCTGTCGTTGGAACATTGTTTTTTGTAATATGTCTAATGTTCGTGAAAGTGAGATTTTATTTCTTTTAAACATTTAGGATGTCGTGCCTATATTTCTGAGATGAAGTATTGTAACTATTTACATTGTTTAGACTTGTCCTCATCTTTATTGCCATATTCACAACGTTTTGACTGTTGTACGCTCTGGCTTTCTTCAGGATCTGTCTATATTTCTGAGATGAGCTATCGTAACTATTTACACTATTTATGTCGTTCGAACTGTGGTCTTCATGTTTATTGCCATATTCACGATGTTTCGGCTGTTGTACACTGTAGCCTTCTTCAGGTGATATACATTTTGAACAGAGCCCTACCATGTGGGTAGATTGTTCTAATTCCATGTGCCATGCCTTTTTGAAATTGTGTGATAATTTTTATAACCAAGTAAATTTGCCATCAGTTCAGATTGCTTAATGTGTACATTATTTTAGTTTCATTAATCTAAAAAGAAAATATCTGACTCTCTAGGTATGTCAAGCATTTGCTAATAAGCACTGATAAATTATGAACCTTAAATTATTGTAAAGTTTGAAATCTCTCATGAAAATGGCTTGTAATATGGCTGGGTGGAATTGAGAAGACTTGTTGAATTATAAAATTTTCTTAGACTTATTTGATTAAATGATCTTGTTTGGTGAAATCAATTTGGCAGAAATAATGATAGATAAACTGTTTAACAAGCAAATTATTTTGATTTCAGATGAAGAAGCCTATGCCTTAAAAGATGTGGAAGCTGAAAAAGTTTTGCAATGTGATTTGACATTCTCTTTGCAAAGAGCAAGAACTCGGCCACTTTTCAAGGTAAACATTATTGAAATTCACTGTACAGATATCAGAAGATTATCTGGCTTTGAGAAAACGAATTACCAGAAAACTGTCCATTTTGGAATCTGGTGCTACTCTGTTGCAACAATTATGGACTTGTTGAAAATTTGACCCTTTTTGAGAAAATACTATTGAAATATAAGATTGCAGCAAAGTTTTGGGCCAGTTTATCCAAGAATACTTAGATAAATGTCTGTTATGAACAAATGGCCTACTGTCTTATTGATGTCGATCATGTTTGGTAAGAAAGGAATTGTTATCAGATTTGAAGTTTGTGCCTGATTTTTGTTGTTAATATAAAATGGCTGTAACTTGACACTTATTGGTTTTGGTGCTGATTTCTAGTGTTCCAGATTGAAACCTTGTATTATTCAGTTGCAAGTCAGACTTTGTTGAATGTTGACATTTTGTCCACAAATGAATATCTATGGAGGATGAAAAGTTGCACTTTCACTGTATTATGCTCTTTGAATTTCAAATAGTAGTAAGTGTTGGAAGGATGATAAAAAAACATTCTGATGGTTTATTTAGATCTTGCTCCAGACTACCCCTCCACTCACTCTATAAGTCACAAACTTTTCTTGTTTTGCATCCTATCTGGAATAGAAATAAAATAGAATTTAACTTCTCATCATTTCCTACAGGGGTTTTGACCATTTTTACCTCTACTTGAAGAAAACTAAGTTATACACCAAACTTTAACCCAAACAATTTCACCTATAGACGAACTATACAACCAGTTTTCAACTGTACTTCCTGAATTATAAAACTTAAAATTTCCTAAAATATTATCAAATAATAATCTGATTTTCCACATTAAATGACCCCCAAGGGTTGATGTGCTAGTAAACCAAACAAACTACTGTGGTTTTGAAATCTGGATGATATAAAAACCATTCCAGTAGACATATATAAGAAACCCTGTTGAACCTTTCAGTCATATAATAATCATAGAACTGCATTTTTTTTTTTTTTTTTTTTTTTTTGAACTGCTATTGTGTCATGATCATATCTGATATAATGTGTGTTCACATGACCATTATACCATTAGACTTTAGTGAGTGAGTGAATCTCTTGGTATGTATAATGAGTCATCTTTATTATTCTAATTGTCTGAATACAACTGGTTCAGTGATAGCTGAAAATATTTCTTACAAAACCAACTAATGTGCTTTTGGTCTTAACACTTGAAACATTTTCCCAGTACTGAGCAAGGCTAATTCTGGATTTCATTTGAAGCTGTTGGAATCTATTTACATTAAGTCCTACCAGCCATCTTTGTGTAAGTAAAAGGAGTGGTTGTTGGTTGGTTGACTTTGTTTAGTGGTATATTAACCTCTATGGATTATTTAATGCCGAAATATTTTGTATGAAATTTTATGGCTTCAACTACAGATAAAATGTATTGTTGGTGATTTTGGACCCTAACGCTTCAAATAGGCACATTTGACTTGGTTCAATCAGGGAGTTTCGGGTCTTTCAACATCATACTCCACATCACCAAATCGACCCAATCAGAATAGATCAATCCCTGATCCGCCCTCTCAATCAAATGCTAGCTACTCTGGCCTTTTAATGAATTTGATGAAGAAAGACCACGTTTATCCGCACACCCAATTGGATGTTTGTAACAACCAATCTGCTGCGCGAACTATCTTTTAAATTGTCCATAGTGGGGACTGGCTTCTTTGTTTCGGTGGATAGCAGTTTCAATGGATGACCAAGGAGGTAATCTTAATGTTCCTAAATTTGACCCTTTTCCCTAAGTATTGTGTAGTGACTTACTCTAAATATTTGCTGTTTTTATTTGTGCTTTTTTTTGAGGGCGGGAAACTTAAACTTAACCCTTCTATCATATTTTTATCGTTTAGCCTGATTCTTAACATTATTACAGGTCAGTTAACTTTAAATGGATGTATTTGCAAAATTAAAATAATTGTCCATAAACCATAAATATATATATATATATTTATATATATATATATATAAATATATAAAATAAAATGTAAAAAAAAAAAAATAATAGAAAAAAAATGTACATAAAACACCATAATGTTCTTTAACATTTAAAACTAATTACAAATTTAAAGTCGTTTAAATACAATAAACTACGAAATACTCTTGAAATTAGATTAAACTACGAAAGAAGTGTGATCTGCTTTACAATACATTCTTATATCCTTTAAAATAAAATAATATTAAGTAATAACGAAGCTTCATACTATATGTATATATAAATGTATAGCTTAAAACCAATGACTATTTAACTGATGAAATAATATACAAACGATATATAGTGATGATTGAGAGAAAAACTCTATAAATACACTATGTACGTGTTATGATTCCGATTAAAATATACAAAATGCGAAATATTCGTGTAAATATAAAATTAAGAAGAAAAAAATATGAGAATAGAAGACAAAAAGCCTTATGAGATGTGTCACACCAAAACTGCTAAAAGGTAAATCGTAACTTAAAATTACTGTGTATAAATTGAGTTTAACATAAAAATACATATTTACAAATAGTACAATTTACAAATTGACATATATTTGTTGACTGTACCTGTACGATTCAAGTCGTGTATTTAAACATAAAAAAAAATGTTTATATTATTGCCATGTTACAATTATGTTAATAATTATTATTTACAAATTTACCCGACTTGATAATTTAACTATTTTGTTACATTGAAGTCCAAGAACCATCACGTTTAATCCATAACCATTTTGCTGTCCTTTCTGCTGATCCAAATCGCCTTTCTTTTGTTAGCACCTACTAAGCCAATATCAGTTAGGGCTTTGCATGGGGACCTTGTAGCAAAACCCCTTACACCCACCTTGATTGGCAAACAGCTTGATTTCCATCCATTGTTTTTACAACTCGTTATTAATTCATCATATTTTAGCATCTTCCATTTGTGGGCTTCCTTTGCATGCTCTTCCCAAGGTACACATTATTACTTTCTTAATATTGTTTGAGAATAATACTATGTCTGGGTGTAATAATGTTTGCATGATGTAGTCATGGAATTTTAGTCTTGTTCCTAAGTCAACCCTTAATTCCCAGTCTGTTGCCAATGACAGGGTATTTGCTATGTTCTTTTCCTTTTTTTTTTTTTTAGGTTTCTCACCAGCTCTATGAAACTGTATAGATCTTTTATCTAGGTTTAAAGTATTAGTGCTGATGGCCATACTAACTATTTTTGCTAGATCCTTTAAGATTTCATCATGCCTCCATCTATACCGGCCTTCCGTTAGTGCTGTCTTACAGCTACTTAGAATATGTTTTAGAGTTCCTTGACGCGAGCACAATTGGCATAAGGGCGATTCTGTTTCATAAGTGGAGGTCAGTAGGACCGGGAAGGGTGTCGTATACAGTCTGAATTAGGAATTTTATATTGATATCATTTCTCCATATATCTGACCATTTGATTTTCCTATAAATCATGAATTCCCAATTGGTCCACGCACCTTGTTGCATTAGTCCTACCCTCTTTGCCACCCTTTTCTCTTCCTCACCCTTACATACTTCTTCTTGTATTAAAAGGTTCTTTTCTTTATCTCTGTCCACCTGAATGGTAGGAAAAAAAACCCTAAGCCCGCGTGTCCAGTAGCCATGGTTCCTAATATGGCCTTTTCGCGAAGCCTTTCTTTAGCGACACATAATTCATTCTCTACTCTCCATTTCCTTCCTGAGTAGACTTCAATGTCTGCTCCAGCCACCTTTGAATCTTTGGACAACTCGTACTGCGTTATTGTTCTAATTTTGGTGACTTTGAATTCCTCTACTAGACTTCTGAGGGGAAGTTGCAGAGCATTGGTGTTCGCTGTATAGAGCAGCACTGGTCAAACTCTTTGGTAGACCTAACCATCTTCGTAGTTGCATGTTAATTCTTTTTTCTAATTGTTCTATATGAGATGTTGTAAATTTGTAAATAGACAATGGCCATAAAATTTCGGGAAGAATGGCATGCTGATAAATCCAAGCTTTAAATCGGCCTGGCAAGCCGGACTTATCAACTCTCTTTAACCAAGTTTCTAGTTTGTCTTTTGTTTCTTGGATTGCTGCTGCGTCTTTTAGAGAGTGATCTATACGTTTTCCAAGGCTTTTTATGGGCTTTTCCGTAATTGTTGGTATGTTCCCCCCGGGTAGTCTGAATCACTCCTTATCTAATATTTTACCTTTCCTTAAAATGAGTGACCTTGATTTCGTAGGGTTGAAGTTCATTTGGGTCCATGTGATATGCTTTTCAATCCCCTTTAGCAGCCATCTTGCACCAATAATAGATGTAGCGGTTATTGTCATATCACCCATATAGGTTCTTATAGGAGTTTGCCTTAATCCTGATCTAGTGACCAGCCCTTTACATTCTGTTTCTGCAGCTTTAACATATTCATGGCTAAACAGAAAAGGGTCGCTGAGATTGCACATCCCGTTATGATGCCCTTCTCTAATTTATGCCATGTCGACGCAGTATTTTCTGATAATGCTCTCATTTGGAAACACATATAATAATCAGAAATTAATTTGGTTATTTTACTAGGTACATAATGGCGATTGAGAGCTTCTTCCACTAGTTTATGTGGTATTAATCTGTAAGCGTTTTTAAGATCTAGCCACATGATTGCTATATCGCTCCTATTTGCCTTTGCTTCTTTTAACAGCTGCAATACGACCCCTATATGTTCCATACATTCCAGTATTAGCAATTAAGAGGTGGTTCCACACTCCTTAAAACCTCCTGATCAGAGGTCTTGCTGCTGGACGTAGTTTATCGTCTTACCCAGGACGCGGGTGTAGTTTATCGTCATACCCAGGACAGTTAATTCCTGTTGACTAAACACATAAGATTTTGACTTGATAAAATGATAATGATATGTAAAATATGTCCAAGTTCTCACTTTTTTTTTTTTATGTTGGTCATCATAACAAGCTAATGAGGCATTTCTGTGTCTGATTACTTATTAGTCTATTAGAAGCATTAGTTTATATCTATTTCTATTATTCTGTCATAAATTGTTTTTTTTTGTTTTTTTGTTGCAGGGTTTTATATTCTATATCACTCCAAGTGTAGTGCCTGCACCGAAGGACCTTCAGTCTATCATTGAGAGTGCCGGTGGCAGTGTAATCAAACGCAGACTCTCAGCAAAGCAGATAGCTTCATTGCGTGATGATAAGGTAAACTTTTCAGTCCTAAGCACTCTTTGTTTAAATTACTTCAATTTTTTTTCTTAATGATTTTAAATTTACTAAACTTTAGCAAATATAGAATTTATAGATTGATATATTACTTTGTTTGTCAAATATTTCAACTTTGCCTTGAAGTAGACAAATTTTGGATTTATGGCTTGTTTTTGTTTGTTCTTTAAACTGTTCTCTAAAAAACAAACACTGATTTTAATGAATTGCAATTTGAAAAATGTCATTTTTAATGATTTCTAAGGAAACTAAACTTTGACAAGAAAACTGTTTGCTAAAGTTACTTTTAGAATTCAAAATTGTTTTATAAATTTGAAATTTATTGAAAAGTAAGAAAAAAATATTGGTGAATTTTATTTATTTATTTATTTTTTTTTTTTTACTTATAAATTTCAATGTTGAGTTTTTTTTGTTTTGTTTTTTTTTTAAACTTTTAAAATTTATTTATAAATCTTTTGCCTACAAAGATAAAAATCAGTTCCCATTGTCTATCTAAATTTTTGGTCTCCCTATATAATATTTAAGCCTATGTGTTTTCCAACAATCTACAGTTGTAGTTATTTTTGTATGTTGAGAAACTTTAAAATAAAAATGGTTAAAACAAAACAGAAATTTGATAGAAACCTGAAACTGTTATACTCTGAGATAGCAATTTGAAAAAGTGGGTTTAGATTGCACCCCTCCACCTCCACTACCTTGTTAGATGGCATTCTAAAATTAGCAAATATAGCATGCACCGGGAGATTATGAGAGAATACATTGGCTAAAACAAAGATGAGGATATTAGTTTAAATAATTCACGTAATAATGACTATACTATGTATTTAGACATGAAGTCATATTTTTTTTTGATGTTGTCTAAAAAGTGGAACACAAAAAAAAAAAACTGTAAAATAACTTGTCATAATATCTGAAATAAATTTATCAGTAATAACATTTTATTTAGATTGTAAAATTCTAGATAAGCTCAAATGTTGTGTGTTTTTGCTCTTTCTTGTTTGTTTCTTATGTTTCATTGTTAAATATTTTACTTATTGGATTTAGAGTGAATATAAAAATTCATCTTTTTAGGGTAATCCGACATTTATTGTGATAACCTGCCCTAATGATGTTCACCTCTGTCGAGATCTTATGGCTCGCAGGCTGGGTAAGTTTTACTTAATTAAAATTTAGTGTTTTTCTCTGTGAGTGAGTGAGAGTGTGTGTGATAAAAAGCCTAAATAAACATTTGACGATATGTGTGGGTGTTGAAAATTTCTCAGCCTAACTCACTTCCCAAAATTTGATCCTGACCTAATGACCAAAGCTTATGCCCATATCATATTGCAACACTGGTCCCATACGATCACTGAAGTTAAGCAACATCAAGACGGGTCAGTACCTAGATGAGTGACCACTTGAGAATTCCCCAAGCAAGGCAATAAAGCCACAAAGTTGTAAGCGGTTACTGAGTGGTAGAAAATGAGAAAAATATACTGTTAAGGAGAGAGGGCAATAAAAGAATTAGAATTAAGAAGACAGAAGATAATGATTGATTCAGTTGAATGTACATTTATTACTTTTGTTATTTTCAATTGTACTGTTTTGACTGGTAAGCTTTAGATTTCCACATGGATGTTGCTTTCAGTAAACCATGTTTTTTTTTTTTTTTTTAATTTCTTTCTCACTGATCAAAATGACAAAATCTTGTCTGGTTTTGTCAAGTTTTTTTCGTTTTCCCTTTTAAGCAGCCTGAATTCTTTTTGTAAATCTAAAAATATTGATCTTTATAGTAATTTTTCTATAGAATTAATTGCAATTAAATCTTAATCTAATATAAAAGAGTAAATTGATTAAACTGTGAAATAAATGTCAGTCTAATTGAATGTCAAACATAGTTTTATTTTATTATTATTTTTTTTTTTTTTTTTTTAATTTCAGCTGTTTTCAATTCGGAATTTGTACTGACTGGAGTTTTACGACAAGAGATAGATTTTGAGCTATTCCGTTTACAGGTGATTTGAAAAGTGGCTTTCTTTCAATCTGGGAGTGAAGTTTTTAAAATATTACAAAAAATAAAACATGAAACTAGCAAACCAAAAAACGGAAAGAAGGAAAAAAAAACGAAACAAAAAAAAAACGAAACAAAAAAAAACAGAATGGAGATTTTCTTTAATTTGGAAATCTTGACTTTCTAGCTACAAGGTTACTAAAACATGGAAGAAAATTGTTTTCTGTTAATTTTTGAAACTCCCAAATCCAAAATTCTAATTGAATGAAAAAAAAAAAAAAATCAAAGGCACAGTAAGGGAGACAACTCTTGAATATTAAGCTGAGCTCTTTGTCAACAATGATTGGCCAATGCGTGTACGGTTTTACATCTAAATATTAACATCAAACAGATGCAATTTAGATGTTTTTTCCTCATAAAAAAAAGAAAAAGAAATGATCATGAACAAAAGAATGACTGTATGATGTGTGCTGCTTAGTCCAAAAGCTGATAAACTTGTTAAGGTAGCTGCATTGACCAATGTACTTTTTATTCAGTGCTCTAGTTTAGTGTAAAAACTAACATTCTCTCTTGCCGTTCTCTTCATTGTTATTCTCTTCTGCCAATCTCGCTGACTATTCAATTTAGAAAAAAATAAAGCAATTAGTCGTGTACCAGCAGAAAAAAAAACAAACCCAAATATCCTTGAAAATGAACTTATCTAGAAACCATGAAAAATGATACGTCCTTCTGATCAGTGTCTGATCCTTGTTTCCAATGTACTGTGCCTTTCTGATTGATTCCCCAGAATTTAAACAAACCTCACTTTAGTAAGTCCAGATTGTCTGGAGAATTATTGTGTATTACTGAGCTTTTTCTTAGTAACTGATCATCAAATCTGAGTAATAACTTAATTAAAAAAAAAACATACTTATGTCCAACATTTGGAAATGTTTGACTTTGTGATATTTAAACACACAAGGTTTGAGAATGTAGAACCTTGAACATAAAGAATGAAAAAAGTGTTTCTAGATAAATAAATGGGACATTGACATGTTTGATTACAGGTAAAATCAAATAGAACATCTACTGTTGTCTCATCTGCCATCAAGAGAATCTCTCTCTCTCAAGTTTTTATTGTGTGCATCATAACTGGACTTTATTGGATAAAATCTTATAAACTGAATTGGTAAAGTTGAGAAAACAAATTGGCAAAGAGGAGGGACATTTTTAAATAGGAATTGAAATATATTGAACTTTTGTTCTTCATGTTTATTTCAGGGACCTAAAGAAATATTCTCCTCTCTTCTTTTGTTCTTGACCATTTTCTTCAACTTTGTTATTTCATTTGTTTTGGTTTGGTGCGTGGTGGGGTTGCTATCTCGATCTTTGTACTTTTTCTTTTTTTTTCTTTTTTAAACTACATTTTGGTTGATATATTCTTTGGTTTCCTTTTGGATGTTTTTTTTTATTTTGTAAGAATTGTTTTATACATTTTCATCAACTTGAGTATTACAGTAACCGGATCACAGGACTGTGTGCTAATATCTTGTGTTAATGTGGGTAAATATGAAATAGGAACTCTTTTCAATTCTGAAGGAAATGGTTTTTCATAGCATCTTTTTATTTTTTTTTTTTTTTTTTTTTTTTTTTATAAGAAACAGAAAATGTTTTTGCATTGACCCTTGATATTTTTGAAGTGAACTGAATATATTGGCCGAGAAATTTTATAACAACTGACCAAGTGGAAAACAATACATCAAAAAATGAAATGAAATAATGAAACCAAAAACAAACTTTGTGAGTAAACCTTCTCCTGGTTTGTTTCATTGATGGCTTGCAAATATTTGTTAAGATTGTTTTTCCAAATTGTTTTTTTTTTTTCCTGTCATCATTATTGCACTTGACGACATGGTCAAAATTTTCTTGTTTAAAGTTTCTTTTTCTTTTGTCTTTCACTCTTGCCTGTCCACTTGTAAACCCTAACAAAATGATTAGACTCACAATTGCCTATTTGCTTGCCATGTCCTTTTTTTTTCCTAATTGGCATAACTAAATAGTCACATTTTCTTGCTAAACTTTTGAACTCCTGCTTCTTTCTGTTCTTTTTCCATTTAGATCTGATATTTTACAAGTATAACATAATAGAGAAAGAGTATGTTTCTGCTGTTCTTTCACCTAATAGGGTCCCCAGCTTCACCTCTCTTTTTCCCTACCAATGCTCTAGCTACCTAGTCAAGATAAATGCCTTTGATTTCTCTTGCTTCATTTATGCTGTGTTTCTCCTTTTTTTTTTTTTTTTTTCTTTGATTTCCTTCAGCAGTGACTGTGTTCACTCATTAGAAGCTCTATTTTCCACAAACATATCCAAATACTCATGGGGTCAAAGCACTGGTATTATGAACAGGAAGATGATTACTGAAGGCTTATAGAGCAGGATAAATTTATGGAGAACAGTAGCTCTCAATATATCCTTGTAAAACATGCATCTTAGAGGCTGGTATGTTTTGCATCGATACTCACCTGTACATTTTATGTAAAATATCTACACACACACATTTGCGGGCCTATAAGAGACAATATAAACCAAAAGTATCCAAATATCATGCAATGTCCATATCCCTTGCTTAATATAAAGAAAATGCCAATCATAACAAAATTCAATAATCTAGTCTGGGATGAGTTGTCCAAAAAGAAATCTTCTAAGCATTGTCTTTTATAGGCCAGCAATTATTTTAGTTTTTATTCATTTTCTTTTCATCCACATGAATTTCATAAAAATATATTTCCTGAATTTCTTGGTTTTTATTGTAAATTTGATATTTGTTGCCTTTTAAAATTCTTGTTACTTTTTTTTTTTTTTTTTTTTATTGCTCTTCAAATTCTTTTTCACTTGATCAATGATAAAAGTCGTTGTTTATTTTGTCCTGATTGCTTATTAGCTTTTCATTTGTTTATTTTTTTTATCCTCTGTAATCCAGGCAAAAACAAAAACATAGATTGAAAACAGGTCGTACATCCCTTTTAATACGCATTATTATTCAGATTATTTATTGTAAAATTCACAACATTGAGAAAAATGAAAATCTTTTGGTTTTGTTATTTGCTGGTAAAGTTTAGGAACTGTCGTTAATCTTTTTCAGAGATGAGCTAATTATTTTGAAAGTGTCAAGTTTTTCTAGTTTGGCAAAAAATGTTAATTGGTTTATTGATTGGTTTATAAGAAAGTTTTAATCATCTTGTCATTTGATTAAACACTTCTTTTTCTTTCTGTTAGAATCAATGAGGACAACAAGAAGGAAATGAAACAAAAAAAAAAAAGAAACATTAGCATTGTATTTAGATTTCTTTAAACTTGATGGATTTTTTTTTTTTTAAGGGAGATCGTTTTATTTTTTAAAAATTGGTTTTGCACCGACGATAACATTTTTCATTATTCCTTATTATTCTATGAAAAATCTGCTTCCAAAATCAAAGAACGAATTTCATAAATAATTTTTTTTCATTTCTTGTTCAAATTTGATCACACTAGAATTTCTTCATCTGTGTTGTGTAATTCGGGTTAATCGAGGATAATAATTATCTTGCATAACCAGTTTTAACATTTAAGTGGGTAGAGATTTATTCCTAGTTTATTATGGCACAAGGTTGCATTAATGAGTATTGAACTTACTTGTAATTACTAGTAAGGTTCCCTTGACAACCATTTCTCTATTACTAGTGACCCTATAAAGATATTTACTTGACATATGGCTACAGTTGAAAGGAATTAACTTCCTTACAAGGGCTTGCAAGATAAGCTTGTTCTTCTTTGACAGTAGGCACCATTTTTTTATACAGTTATCTTGGCCATGTTTAGTATGGAGTCACTTAGAAGTCAACTGTGAAGCAGTTTCCTACAAGATAATTTCACCAGGTGTATTTATTTTTTTTATAGCAGGCACCTGTAATTAGGCATCAGCATATTAGATCAGATTGTGACATTTTTGATAAAATCTCTAGGGTTAAAGAAATCATGTGGTCTTTTTTTGAAAATAGGCAGAATTCGAATGCTATAATTAACATGCAATTGTAATGTTGTTGCATGGACAGAAACTTTGTTGGCTTCTTTTAAGGAAGCAAATTTTTGTTAGCTTTTTGTTTTTTTCTCAGTTGCACTTGAAAAACAAGAACTTTTGGAGTTTGTTTACTCTATCACTTTTTTTTTTTATTCTGAGAAGAGGAAAGCCATTTATTGTCAACGAATCTCTATTATCTATATTTCTTTCTTTCTTTCTGTTTTTTTAATTGCACTTTGTTTTAGGCAGTTGTAGTTCTGGTATTGTTTTCAAAAAACAATTTTTTATTTTTTTCGTTTTCCTTTCCATAAAACTGCCCCTAATGATGTAGATTCAGATTTTATAAAATGGTGTTGGGGTGTGGAGGTCACTGTCAAATTGCATGAACCTGGAATGAGTTGTGTGTGTGTGATTAATTGGTTTAAAAGTTTCACTTTTCAAATTGACCAAATAATACAGAACTCTTATAATTGCCAACCATTTTCAACATAATCATTTATGACAAAAATGTTTCTTGTTTTATTTATTTTTTCAATTTGGTAAAAATGTGTTTCTTTTCTATATTCATAAGAAAATCTGTAAAACAATTTTTTTACATTAACAACCAATTCTTGGAAAAAGTTTTGCACTCAGTTAAATTCTACAAGTCTTCTCATGAAATACCATTTGATATTAGGACCAACAAAAACTGGGATTGAACCTGCAGAATTAGGGGAGGGACCTTCATATTTTTAGTCTGATGTTCTCCCATCTGATCTGTTTCAGCCATTGACAAAAATGTGTGTGTGTATACACGACTAATCTGTATCAATAGCAAATTGTGTATGTGTGTATATGCTTAATCTATATTAATAGCAAAGTATGTGTCTTTGTGTGTGTGATCATGGATCTGATCTGTTTGTCGGGTAACATTTTGTTTTAGAATGCAGTTTTCTGTCTTGGATTGTAAGATAAAACAGAAACTAGTTCCATTTCT